AATAGAAATAAAAGTAAGATATAATAATAAATAATATTAATTATAAAAAAAAAGTATAATTAAAATTAAATAAAATCTAAATTAATAAAATATAATATAAAAAATACAGCTACGGTAAATATTAAAAGCAGAGTCAGATATATTAATATTAATATTTTTAATAATATTTAACTGCAATTAATTTACACCCAGTAAAGAATATAAAATTAAAAATATAATATATTAAATCTATATTTAATATTTTAATTTATAGAAAAGAAAGATTAATCATTTTAATAAAATATTTCTAAATTATTATTTTAAAAATATATATTAATAGAAAAAGTATAACTACTGTTTAAAGCAATACAGTCTATGTACTGAGATAAGTAAACTATATATAATAAAAAATATCAGTTATTAATATAGAGCTGATTAAATTATATCTTATATAAAAATTCTTATAATTAAAGTATATAATAGAAAATCCAGACCGTCTAATAAAAGAAAAAAGTATCAGAAGCAGTTTATTAAAAAATACTATTAGATTAGTATATAAATATAATTATATCTAGTAGTGGAGGAGCACCGGGTAAAGAAATATAAATAAAAATAAATAATAATAAAAAAGAATAAGTTAGTAAAATTAAATAATATATAGACAGTATAAATATATTATAATAATAATATTATTATTAATAATAATATAAGCAACAGTGTTCAGGTAGTAGTGGAGGAGCACCGGGTAAAGAATATAAAAAAAAAAAATAATAATAAAAAAGAATAAGTTAGTAAAATTAAATAATATATAGACAGTATAAATATATTATAATAATAATATTATTATTAATAATAATATAAGCAACAGTGTTCAGGTAGTAGTGGAGGAGCACCGGGTAAAGAAATATAAATAAAAAAAATAATAATAAAAAAGAATAAGTTAGTAAAATTAAATAATATATAGACAGTATAAATATATTATAATAATAATATTATTATTATTAATAATATAAGCAACAGTGTTCAAGTAGTAATAATATTATATAAAATATATACAAATGAAAGCAGAAAGTAAAAATATAAAATAATATAAATTAAAGTTAATTAATTAATTAATAAAATATAATAAGATATAGAATCAAGAGATTATACTAACAGTAGACAGCAGTAAGATAAAATAAAGCAGTAAGTTATTTATGATAAAATTAATAAAATAATAAAAAAAAAGATAAGCAGCAGGTGAGGAAGTAGTATATAAGAGAAAAAAATAAATGAGAGTAAGAGAAGTAACTGAAAGCAGTAGAATAACTGTAAATAATAAAAGGCCGGCCATAATTAATAGAAGAGCAAGATTGCACGCAAAAAGTGTACAAAGAGTGCGAAGTGCCAGATATATATATGATACTTTGATTGGATATTAGCGGAGACGTATGTGTATGACATTATGAGGTCTATGGAGAGGCGAATGATATCTTCCCTTGAACTGTGGGATAAGAGTGAGGGTAAAATATCACTTCTGCATGGCCAATATTGACAAAGTGCTAAACAATACCTAAAGAAACAGAACAGACATTGGATGTAGTCTACAGGATCTCTAGTATATCCTCAACTGTAGCTGAAGACCAAGCCCTTGGATTGCTCGTGCAGCAGATCTCTTCCCTAACTTGCATCTTTTCTACCATTAAAGAAGGACATGATATAGAAACATACCCTCCCTAGAACACTACGATCTTACCCCATTTGCTCCAACCATCTTATTGCACAAATTGCATCCACACTGCCAGACCAATATGATCCCGCCACCCACAACCAAATAATGAGTCGATCAAGTATCAATTAACCTGGTCTCACGAACATAGACAAAATACATCTACTTTGACTTCATCTAAACCAAGGAGTACCTGCAACCCAAAATGAAAAACACGTTGTTGCTACTACCCTCTGTAGTACACATGGAGGCTTTATAATAGAGATAATAATTTGAGTTTTATACTAGTACTACTTGGGATTGGTAGAGTAGAAAAATATATATAAACGTAGGCTTCTATCACTGTACTAGTAGTAGTAAAAGTGACGGTTCATGTCCTGACGACGAGTGAATTAGTACTGCCGTGCTTCATTTCTTTACATACTCAACCCTCATGCACTCTACAGCCACACTCACAGCCCTGTATATATATCCAAAATGGTACTTACTACACATGGCGCAGCATCTTAGATATGAAAATTACGTCAAGTGCGAAAGTCCGATCTACTGACGTTCAACTATCGACCAAAGAATGATCTACTACTCCTGCAGGGTGGATTAGGCAGCCACTCAGCTCCTCCAGAAGCATCGGGACAGCGCATTAGTTATAAGGCTGCCTAGGCGAAACCCGCTCAGCGAGATTGAACGGTACCACCAATCGGAGAGACCGTTAGTGGTTGGGCTTCCTGGCGGTGGGCTTGGCTTTGGATTCAAGCTCAGACGGAAAGGAAACTAGAGTCGCAGGTCCCTCCTCGCAGATTCTTGCCAAGATGTTCAGGATCTTCAATGGAAAATTGCTTCAGATCTAGTCTACTCTGTGTATCACATTGTGGAGTACCATACTCAGATGATGAACATATCACAGATGATGACATTTACTGGGGCAGCCGATGCAGCAGAGAAAAAATTTCACAAGTCATCAATTAAAGAAGCGCCATGAAGCAAAGAGGATGATTCACCTCCCTCCCCGTTCCAAGCACCACCCCGGGTCCTAAACACATATTCCGGGATCACCATATTGAACAGAAAGGAAAATAGATAAGAAGAAAATTCCCATGGGGGGCCACGACGAAGGAAGGTAACAGTAACGCGATGGGTAGATTAACAAGAAAATAGACAAAAACCGCGTAGCAACTGCAGCTGTCACAGCAGCGCTTCCCGGCGCCCCTGGACTCGACCGGTCTAGTGTAGCACGCGATGAAAGGGGAATTTATCGTATCGTCGAGGTCGTATATCGATCGTGAGAGCTCGGTTGGTCGCGCGCAGCCCTCGCTACATTCGAGGTAGCACCCGTAATCGATCACAGCTTAACACATTTCACAGCACTCGATGCACTCGAAGCAGCATTCGCAGGACTCCTCACACAGGAAGCAGCAGCAGAGCGTGGCCAGGCTAGAGGTAAAACAGTACGATTAGCAAGGTGCGGCGCGACAAAATCTAGCAAGGGTGTGAGGCCTACCAGGCACCGAGACATCCGCGGTCCTTCTGCTGGGGAGGAGGCTGTTGCTGGTATTGCATCTGCTGTCCGGTCAGAGGTTGATCGCATGACTGCACATAACACTGGCATCAACATACCTGAGGGTAGGGCTGCTGGGGGTATCCCTGGGGAGGATAGCCACCCTGCGGAGGCGGATAGCCCTGGGGAGGGTACCTGTGCGGAGACCGGGTCAGAACAATGCGCAAATCCGGGGTATGGTTTGACGAGAGACTCTGCGACCGCTGGCAAACGCAGGAAAAAACATCGGCGTCGAGGAGCTTGGTGACAAGCCAGCCTCCGAACGGGTTCCTGAGCCAACACACCGCGGTCGCTTGGAATCCGAATGCCCGGTGCAAAAACCACAGGAGATCGGGCGCAATGGAGTGGCGGAAGACTTACGCCTGGGGCGGGGGAGGAGGGCCGTTGTAGTATCCGGGAGCGCTCATGATGAAGGGAAAGAGTCTGTGTGTAGGAATAAAAGTAGCACTGGGTCAGCGTGGTGAACTTGGCAGTGGACGGTAGCGATGGAAGAAAGAGGAAGAGGGAGAGTGAGTGGACGGAGGAAGGTAAGCCCAGCCTTGCGTGGACCAATAAAAGGGAGATAAGCATACCTAAGACAAACGCCGAGTTCTAAACGGAGTCGATGGAAAGCGGAAAGCAAGAAAGGGGGGGGGAAGGAAGAAGAAGAAGAAGAGCAGGAAAAGGAACGATCGCTAGGGGTTGGAAAGGCGAAAGGAGGCGGAGAAAGAGGAGAAGATCGCTGAGCCGCCGTTCAACCTTTAAGGTTTTGGTTGGTGGATGAGAAAGAAGAAAGACAGTCAGACAGTCAGTCAGACAGACAGACAGACACAGAAGACCGAGCCAGCAGAGAGACACTTAATAAGAAAATTACGCTCTAGTTATTCAACTCCCTGCTCTTTCCTTCGTAACATACCTTACAGGAATCCGAGTCCCACGAGCCAATAGTGACCAGTAGTGCAATCCTGTTTACGCCCCCACCCCCAACTAGAAGGACGCCAGAAAATCCTAGCCGCTCATGTCTACCCAGCCTGAAACAGGAAAAGCCAACAGATGAGTGAGTTAGAGAAGATGGTAAATTATTAATATTGAATCCGAAACAAGTACTACTCTAGAACTAAGTGATCATCTGTCGTAATCTCAAAGGGCAAAAAGAGAAAGAGAAAGAGAAAGAGAAAGAGAGAGAGCCCGCTCTCTCCCTACCCGACCGAAAGGGACCGTCAGCCCATGATTACAATACGTACATACAAGTCTCGTACGCAGCACCGCCCGGACTCAGCCACATTAGCGCAGCCCTACAGGACCCAGTTACCGCCAGGCACCAGCCACGACAGTTCCTGCTATGATTTATTTGGGGAATTTGTCCTGGAACAACTGTCGGGCGCCCCCTTCAGCGGTCGGGGCGAGCACTGCATGCCTACCAATCACCGCCCTGGTGCTTGGAGTTACGCCCCACCGTCATCGCCCGTGAGCGATGGCTCAGGGAATGAAAGGTTAGTTGTCAGCCAACCGTCCTGGGCTGGCCAAAGGATCGCCGCCATCATTGGCAGGAGGGCTGCCCTGAGTTCCACTGCATGCCCCGGCGCTCATGAGACCCCTAAATTGCGCCCAATCACTGCGCCCACCATCGTGGCAGTCAGGTGCGTGCCGGCACAAAGCCACGCCCCGGCGTCACCGCCTACCAGCACCGCCTACCTTACGGCCACCCGCACCGTGGCATCACCAAGCAAAGTCCCTGGGCATCTTAGTATCCTTTAGCAATAGTAGGCTGCAGTTACCAAAAAAAAAGAGGAACTGCAAAGTCGGCAGTGGTCTTCCCCATCATACCCTAGTCCCGAGGCTTGTGCTCGGGAGGACTGTGGCTTTCATGCACGACGTGCACCAAATCAATATATTCACGAATCTGAGACTGGCTGAATGACTGCTCATCATCACACATTATGTCGTAGCGCCCATCCAGGGCATCACCAGGTCGACTTTGTCGGCCCTCTGGAGTCCGAAGAATGAAGAGAAGAGAAGATAGAAGAAGAAGAATCACTGAAAGAAAAAGAAGAAAGAAGAAGGAAACGAGATAGAGAAGAAATGTAGGAGGAGAATTAGAAGAGGAAAGATTAAGAACGGAAAAGGGGAAGAAAGAAAAGAGAAAAAAGAAGTAAAGAAAAGCCAGTGAAAATTTATCACACCAAATGTAGGCGAAAAGTGCACAATGTGAAGAATATGGAAACAGCTCCAATAAAAAGCAAGGTTCAAGATGTATAGTATCAACATGAAACCCATGAGTAACCAAGGATCTAGTCTCAAGCCCTCAGGAAGGTAAACGAGAAAGCGATCAGCCGCTGGGCTGGGGTTTATACAATCACACATACGAATCGATCTCAGGCGGTAACGTTTGAGAATCGAAGTAACAGGGAGCAGCATCCATCGACGGGTCCATGACCATCGTCGGCATCGCTGTGAAGGACTCAAATCCGTTCACTAAATTCGAGTCCATACCCTGGGAAGAGATGTCTTCGACCGACGCCTGCGGCAATCCAGAGAACGTAACATCCTCGGAGGCCGCAGGCGGAGCAGCCACCATGTCATCGCCTAGTGCATCCTGGTCAATATAGTTCTGGGCATTTTCGAGGACTATCTCCTCTTTCTGCACCATCCAGTGCTTCAGGACATCCATGGGCGGGTGGTTTCCACCGCCCTTGCCGCCGCGCTTCTCGCTGTCTTTGCCACGACCACCACGGCCTCTTTGGCACGGGTTGAAGTGGGTGCGACGAAGATGAGCGGCGGCGTTGTAGTTAGCACCGTATCTTTTCCCATTCCGACAAGCCTTGCAGTTGGCCAGGAATGTCTTGCCAGGAGAAATGTCAACGCAAACCCAAACCTTGCGAACAACAGCATGGACCCGCTCAATGTGTCGACGCAGCTCGTGCTCTCCGTGAAAGCCATCCGGCTGGTCGTTGCACATGTTACAATACGTCTTCGGACGTGGGGGCCGTTGGATCGAGGCCTTGGGAATGGCTGCAACTTCTTTGGCAGTACCATCCGATGATGAGATGCGAATCATCTTATGCTGCTCGGCCACCTTGGGGGGTGAGCTGCTGTGTGGCTCGGCTTTAGGAGCAATGGGTCGAGTACCCTGAACAATTTGTTCTTGGGTCCTGCGAGCCGCCCTAGATGGCTGGGAGAGAGACGAGCTGTCACTCTCGACAGACATGGAAGGCCTCATCTCCGTCGCAGTAGATGGAGAAAGGGTAGGAATGGGTGGATGGAAGGATGTGGAGGATGGAGCGGAGCAAGAAAACGACATCGAGCCAGAAGGCTCAGTGAATGTGAGGGGGACTTCGGGGTTTGGGTGTCGGTGCATAGATGAGAAGGAAGCAGGGAAGGGGACGTTCATGGGGGAAGTGGAGGTGACGAATTCAGAGGGGACGGAAAATGAGAAATTGGAGTCCAGATTCGGCCCCGAAGAATCGAATCTCATCATTCCCAAACCTCCGCAGAGCGAGTCCGTAGTGGTACTCCTGCTCATTTCCACGGCAGCCGGCTGGACCGGCTGCTCGACCATGGTAGGGTTGGACATGGCAGCAAAGTTCGTCGTCATCAAGTCAGGCTGGCCCTGATTCAGCTGGGGTTCTTGTCGAAGTCCAGACATCGTCGCATCCGCAGAAAGCGCCATAGAAAGTGCCGAGACGTGTCCATGACCCTGGAAATCATCCAAGTACTGTTTGGCGTATTCGGAGGGCGTGTATTCGTTGACATGGTCAAGGCGGCGCTGCACACGCTGGGGCCCATAGGAGTGCCGAAATCCCGTTGCAGGGGTGGTCAGCGACGGACGGTGAGCAACCGGTATCTGCTGACTCTGCGAGCGGACCATAGCCGTATGCCGGGAGGAGGGTCCAGGACCAGAGTAAGAGACCGAGCTGCCTTTCCGAGAATTCGTTCTTGAGAGGCGTCGAGTAGTCTCAGGGGCCGCCGGCGAAGACGCATGGGACAGTTCCCGCGTCAAATCAACGGTCACTGGAGGTTCCGGAGTCTGCCAAGTGTCAATCCAAGGACTGTTGGCGGGAGATGACAGAAGAGAAGAAGATCATAGAATAGCGCGGGAGGGACAGGATGGGTAGAAACGCAGGTATGCAGGAGAGGCGGGAGCAGAAGACCAAGATAGATCACATACGGTGACTCGTCGTTTCGGTGGAGGAAGACCAGAACCAGGTAGGGTCCGGGGGGTATCCTGTCGTAACCGTTTCCCAGATTTCTCGAGAGCCGCACCGCCATCTTCAGGAAGACCAGAACCGGGAACCGGGCGGTAACTGGATGAGGCGACAGAGGATATGGAAGAAGAGGCCGTGGTGGTCATGAACTGACTTAACCGCTGACTCCAAAGTTCGTTTCGCTCTGATTCCGGAAGATGGGAGTGTCGATCCAAGAAAGCGTCCCGATACCCAGAGATGGCCCTTGTGAAGAGTTCGTCGTCGGCCATGGTGCCCGCCATAATGGGTGAAGAAGTCCTCGCTGAGTGCTGCCTCTTCTCACGTAGGATGAGCGAGGAGGGGGTGCTGCTATCAGTATCAAGTGACTTCGGGGGTTTAGGAGGATCTCTGGAGCTAGCGCGGTCAGTATATATTGGGTAGAGAAACTCTTGGTGGCTTGTCCGCCCGAGCAACGAGATAGGAAGACTGACTGGAGTATAGAAATGGAGTGTAGTAGAGAATAGGCCCGATACTAAGATAAATGGGGCAGGCAGTGAAGTGTAAAGAGGAGTACACGGCAGAAGAAAGCAAGGCCGGTACAGATAAGATACACGGGGGTCGTGTGAGGTAAGATAGTATGGGGAAGGGAAAATTGTTGAATGAGATGAAGAAGAGGGAGGAATGAGAGAGTAAGAGAGAGAGATGGGGGGAGGAGATATATGAAGGCGCGGTGGAGTAAGAGAACAATGGGGAAGTGCCAGATGGATGTTAACAAGGAAGATGACGATAACGATAAAGAACGAGGAGGCAGATGAGGTGGGAAGAGGTTATCAATTAAATGGAGCATCCACCATCCCCACATCCGGGTTGGTCGAATGGTCCGGAGAGGGTCGAGGATGAAACTAAGGTGAGAATGGACTAGGAGCAAAGCAGAGAAGCCAGAGGGAGGAGGGGAGGGAAGGCAGAGAAGGGGAAGATGGGTAAGGTACGAATGGATGGAACGAGCGTGAGCGAACAAAAGATCCGTCAGAAGGAGAAGCAGTAGTTGCAGGCTAGTTTAGGGAGTTCATCGCCCATCGCGAGAGGTTGAAACTGGGCGGGGATGGGAAGATGGAGGGAGGGATTGGAAGCCTCCCAGATGAGTCCAGACCCTCTTGGGATGGCCAGGATCTGTCGCAACTTTTTTGGGGGGGAGAGAGAAAGTTAGGTAGAAAGTAGAATGGATGTATTATTATTTTTCTTTCTCGATTTGGCATTACTTATTCCTTTAGTTCTCATTTGATGATCTTGTTTTTCCCCATTTTGATCTCCCATTTTGACTTTTTTTATGTTGATTTTTTTTCTATGCTTTTTATTCTTTTTCCGTATTTTCTTTTGTCCCTCATTTCTTTTTTACTATTTCCCAATATGGAATAAGTATAAGGATGAAGAAGAGGGGGGAAAGGGTGTGAGCTAGCCAAAATGAAAAGTAAAAGAGGTAAGAAATCAAAAAAATCAAAAGCGAAAAAGGAAAAAAAGAAAATAATTATTATTGTTGTAATTTTTGGGGAAAGAGAAGGAGGGAGGAGGGGGAAATCGATTCACCGTCTGGGCCGAAGATGGTGATCAGAGCGCTAGTGCCAAAAAGAGAAGAGACCACTCAAGTCAGTACTAACCAGTGTCCGTCTGGATTAGTTATTATTTTTCTGGGGGGATGGAAGAAAGGGAAAGCCGGGAAAAAAAAATAAAATAAAAAGAGAGAGAGAGAAACGAAAAGCACACTAAGCACTGTAAGGTAGGAAGGAGGAAAAGGAGGAGAGCACGACGACCAACCCACGTCCAGCAGACCAGAAATCATCAGTCCCGCCTCTACCTATGACGGTCCTCAGTCAGGGAAAAAAAGACACACCACCACCAAGTCAGGACTAGACCTACCAGGAAAGGTCAAGGGAAGGGTGACACGCTGACTGTTCAACAGAGGCCCGAATGGACCTGCTTGCAACGGGTTAGACACATCGATCGGACGAGTCGCAGTGGACGGACAAACACGGTGTGTGCCCCAAAGTGAGGCAGCGAAACGGATTCCATCGTCATCGACCCGGACCACCAAAAGCACCTGCTGCGCTGGAGGGCCATGATCAGTCATCCGAGTGGTTATGATGGGTTATGTGCACGGGATTATTATTGTCACTACTACTACTACGGGCGAGAGACTACTACAACCAACTCCCCTATGGAGTCCTGTGTTAGCCTGCTTATTATGGGGACTGGCTGCACCAGCCCATTTCCGCTGGACTTGATACGCTGTACCCCGTCTGCTGCAGCGCCTACGGCGGTACATGGGCTTGAAAGAATCATGGGCCTGTTTCCCAGCAGTGGCTCCGCCGGCCTCAGGTACCTACTGAGGCTAAGGTAGAAACAGTGACTCCAAGTTGAGGTACCTGAGTGTAGTAATCCTCCTCCCACCAGCAGTGGCTTACTGCGTCGGAGCAATGTACTAACGGTCCGGTTGGTGGTCAGTGGCAGGCCACCTGCGCCCGTCTGCTCCGTACAAAGCACCCGGGAAGTCAACCACCTTTCCCCCCTCGACTCTACGGCTGCCACGTCGATGTCAGGCTACACCCGTTCGGGCTTTTCTCGTCCCCATACTCCGTACATGCTCCTACACTACCACAATGCTCGTCACGGCCAACTCTAGTTGGTCTTACTCCTCTGTCAGTTGGCGATGCGCTTGCAGATGACGAGCCAGCCGGAAGTCAAGTTGTCCCTTATCGCGGTCGCTTGTTGTCGTATCAGGCGCGGCAGCAGAATAACTGAGAGAAGTAAGATCTCCTGAACAGTTGAGCACAAACCTCCTCTATGTTGTGTCTGGACACGACACTTTGGAGTCTAGATGGGCAAACTACAGGGGCAATTGGGTATCAACAGGATTTGTTGTCGACCCCAGGCATCCCATTCTTCGTGCCCTTAGGCTGTGCGAAAGAAGAAGCCCGTGGTTATGGTATATAGCACCTTTAGGCAAGCGGCAGTAACCTGGGTACAGCCCCCGGGCCCAACCCGCGGTACCACGCGGAAGACACCCAGGGTTTGGCCGGCGTTGTCTGCACATGGCCGTCCAAGAATGACACGAGCTCGATCAGGTAACTAATTGACACGGACTGCTGACAGTCTGACCACTGTGGTTCCTAGGGGTATGGTGGCTATGGAGCGCCGTACCGGAGAGGTGACGAAAATCTTTCGTAAATCCAGCTGCTAGAATATTTCCCGGATCTTCCTCTGGCGCCGTGACCGGACGATCTCAAGACTATCGACGATGGACCGATCATTTGGGGAAGGGGAGTGTGTGGGGCGGATGAAGATGCCGCCCAATACGCAGGAAGGACGGCTGGTAATCACGTGCTACACGTGACTCTTTCTCAATGAGGACTAGACCACTAACAAGTTGCTGCTGAGAACGAGAACAGCTTGCCTGCTAATCGTCACCCACGGTGGGATAGGAAGAACAGTTGGTCCATGGGATCGACTAGCCCATTCTACTACTTACTCAATTAGTTAGTCGAGGAACGCTGTAAGTGACTAAGGGTTGCTGCGGATGGAGTGGTCTATGTGCTGGCGTTTCACCTCCACCCTGCCAACACGATGATAAAGCTAACCAGATCATGATGGCTTAGGCTTAGGAACGCGCTCCCCTCATGCTCTCACCGAAGGCAAGCGCTTTTGGCGGTCAACCGCTCCTCCACCGTTGTTTCAGACTTTCAGCACCCACCGCGAGCCCACTGCAGAGTCACCGCTTTTTGAGGCCTAAAAAGCGATGACGATACTACGGGGTGGAAGTGACCACTATGGACCGACTACTGCACCGTAGAAGCCCATAGTGTGTCCCCAAACGGGTAAAGCGCCGTTCCTGGAACCGGCTATCGTGTCTGAACATGGCTCGCGCCAATCACCGACGGCGCTCATAGTGTCTTTTCGAGAATGAAGAAAACATAGCCAGGGAACTCAGGGACTACGTGGGATACTCGTGTGCAGAGTTGCTACTCCACCGTTGTCTCCGGCTCAATCTGCGCGGGTGGAGGAATATTCTAGGAAATCCCCCTCTTGCCGATTCTCGAAGACAGTCGAATTTCCGGCCCTCTCTGGTCGGCAGAACGGAGTACACCGTTGCGGTATGAGCAACAGCGGGGTATTGAGTTGAACGCGTGAGTCATGCACTCTTCCCACGCATTCACCACTCCGTCCTCAATTTAGACACTGTATTGAGGGGAAGCGACTAAGGAAATTATTATCATCTCTACGGAGTAAATCCGGTGGCAAACTTGGCTTCTTCGTTGCCATCTTTTCATGTCCCGGGGAACTTCTGTTCTGTCGGTCTGGAGAGTTGGTGCCTCTCGAGTGCGTCCAGACACCGAGGCAATCCGTAGTGAATAACCTACAGCGAACCCCACGATAAGTGAGGGAGAAATTCGATAAAGTATTGGAATCGCTGTATCTCTTCAAGAGATTAACCAGCGTCGAGCCATGTCGGCGAAGAGTTTTGCGCAACTGCGTCATTGCCATTCTGCCCCTCTTGGCTTCATCCCGCTTCAGTTTACCTATCCCCACCATTTTCCTAATCGTCCGATCACTCTAACACAGGTTACATCCTTCACCAACTCCGCTACTTTGCAAGATAATATTCGTTTCCAGCAGCCAAACCTGGTGCGATAGCACATTGTTCAATTTACAACGAGTTTCTCTCGCTTTAGATCGTATATATATTCAACACAGTAGTGCTTACCACTGATAGGATCTAGTAGTACCAGTAACACTAACTGCAAAGATACTATCGCAGTGGTTAGGACTCCTAAAATATATTCTACCAGTAGTACATCATGATCATATTCAATCACCCACACCACAAAGCAAGCGGACACCAGTGGTAGCATCATGATCAGAGTAGTAGTAAACTACTACTAATCGAACTGATACCACAAAAGTCATGAGTACCAAGCATCCCCGCTTACAGACCTTACAACTACTACTACTAAGAATCTCACCATCATCCCGACATGACACCACGTGATAACACCTCCATAACGAACATCAGTCTTGCTTGCTAGCTCTGAGTGACATCCTAATCATCCGGTGAGCTGTTAGCTTTGTACTAATCAAGCGAAAACTCCATTCAGTATCTACTAATCCCGTTTACGACCCAAAAAGGAATGCTATTCCTGGCCCGTCTTTCACGAAGTGGAGGAAGATAACTAAGTACCTACCTACCTAACTACCAGATATAGAACTAAGACCGGGACAACGGATGACAACAAACCATTAATAGCCACACTGGAAGCAGGTAAAAAAAAATGCAATAGTGCGACAATTTTACAAAAAAGCACGGCGGCGTCTTGCTAGAGCACGGAGCAGCGGAAATGACTCGGCTACCGGAAAGAGAGAATGCATATCATTGAGGACAATGAATAGAAAGCAACTCTAGTACAACCGTAAAGTACATGGAGAGTAATAGGGATGGAGATCATACGGTCCTCCTGGCTGGCTGGCATCAAATGACAAGTTGATGGAACTAACTAAACTAGCTGGCTTTTTTTTCGCTGCGCTCACAACTTGTTTTTCACACCAATGCATTGTGATAAGTCTTAGGCATACGCTTTAGATTGTCGTAGGGTGTAAGTAGTGAAGCCAGCTGGGCGTCAATTTTCATCGATGCCTGCCTGCCTGCTTCTTAGATTATGCTCGTACGCAGGTACGTACTTTTTTTCTTTCGTGTACCTTGCCCGATCAGCCGGGCAGTTGTCTGGAGAAGAGATGGTGATGGTGATGGAAAGGGAGGGGAAAAGAAGAGAAAATGACATGGGACAAAAATAGATGCGTGACGCTATTCCGTGTGCGTCATGGTCGGTGGTAGCAAAGCACCCCTATTCGATGGGCAAGGGGATCGGCGGGTCCGCTAGACGTTCTGTGATCGTCCAATTTCCCTGAAGGGGGTGGGATGATAGGCTGGAAAAGGCTTTCAAGGTGGTCCACTAGTTCGTACCATCTGTGATTCCATGCAGGATGCGCATACAGTGTGCTGCCGGTTGATGGTGGAAAAAGCAGGGAAGAAAGGTTTTGGGTTGAGATGAGATGAGAGAAGGATGGATTCCCCCTCTTTCTCTTAGCGAATGCCTGACTTGGGCAGTTGCCACACCAAACTACTGAACTACTAACCTTCCAAATCTGATATTCTGGATCCCTGGAAATAGTAATTAGTTAATTGGCGATTGTTGTTTGTTTTGTTTCTCCCATTTTAAATTTTCGGGTCGAAAGGGGAAAAGTATCTACTAACTACGTAGACGTGGGACAGTTACCGAACTTTGGAAGGTTCCATGGGACGCCCGGTTGGCGCTATCTGCAAACTGCAACTGACAGCGAATCATTTAAGATTTGAGGCCGGAGCTGTTGGGCCACCCGCCCATCCCATAGAAACGCCGAAGGCCAAAAAGGATTCAGGTCACTGCACTTAGTTACTTAGGTCACCAACGCCCACCTCATTTCCGCCAAAAGGCTAAACTTATCATCTTACTTGAAACCACTATGACAACATCATCGCTGGGATATTCGGAAAACGGCTGCCGCCTATGCCCAACCAGTCTTATTAGTCAATTTTCTGCCTTACTCGATCCGTGTTCAGATGTGACCGAGTCAGGCTATGGGCTGAGACTTGAGATTCGGGCAACGATGATGGCTTGGAAAACGGGACAGAAGAGGCGAGATCTACCCTCGGTGTGTGAGATCTCATGAAGCCCACCAACTGGCTGGGACTGCGTAGACTCGGTTAGCCAGGGCATCTGAACGCCTTGTATATTCACCATCGATCTAGCCGGTTGGTCCATGCTGATACGAACACCAGATATCCTTGCCTGGGCTGATTCGTCCATGTATTGGCAGTTGAAAAGCAGTTCCTATACGTGCGATTCACGAAGTTTCGGACAGCTCGCCACAGGCAGGCCTGGGCGTCCTTCAAAGCCGAGTCTGGAACGGCGTTTAGCCAACCGCTGGGCCGAGTTTTAGCTCGTTATCCTTGTGTGAATGGGTGCTATGACCGCCAGAGGCAACGAAATTCTAATGCTCTGCGTAGCATCTGTGTCTGTGATTGGATCTGACAATGAGAGATCCTGATGACGCGGCTGAACAAGTCGAAGATTTGTGGATAGCCTGACTTCCTCAATCGTTGCTTTGCTGCTTCGTTGCTAAGCCTTGCATTGTCTGAAGGATTAACCGCTGGGCCTTGTTTTGTCCAAGTGGCTGTGGCGATGCACCGTTTCAACGCCAAATGGCGCATCTCTAGGCTGGACTTGTCAGCGCTCGTTGTCAGATAGGTCCTTGCAGATCGATGTAGCTAGTAAGATGGGTATAACGTACGCCGAGTAAGTCTCAACCACGTACGGGCTGCAAGAGTCTGAAAAAGTGGTACCGGCCTTTTGACTTAAGCGACTATGGAGCAGCCACCGGCTATTCTCGCTTGTCTTCGCGAAAGTGTCTCTTTTACAACGCAGTTTTGATGGAGCATTCCTGCCACCGCGTCGATCTCGCCATCTCCTGCGCCACATTATCTTTGCATCTCATCCAAGCCAGTATCGATCCGAATTGCCACGGCCTCTTCGGTAGGAAAAGATACACTATTGCAGTATTGTGTATCGTGACTAAGGATCTCATCCTTAGAGGGGTCACCACGGATGATGGAGTGGTGACAGCGTACAGTGTGGTCTTTCCAGATTGTGGTGATAGAGTAAAAAGTTGGCAGGTACGTCGGATAGGACCGTTGGAGTAGTCATCACCAGGCCGCTCCGTCAGGCAGCTCTGACTGTAGTAAGTACTAGAAATAATGCTTCGAGCCATCTCCATAAAATAACTCCAATTGCTGCTGGAACTCTGGCTTCGGGAAATTGGACCAGCCTGATTTGTTAAAACTCGAAGGTTTGCTTGAATAAAACTTACACTTGATAACACAAAGACCAGGCCTACAATTAGTTCCCGCAGGGCAATTTTGAAGGCAAACCATTCATGAAGCGATCTCGCTGCGACTTGTTGCCCAGACATACCGGGTTCTTAAGGAAAGCATCTTGAAGAGCTGACTATTGCTGTTGCATGGGTTCATAAGTCTCTTGCATTTCGATAAGACCTTGCCCTGTCATCATCCCATAACGATCATCGCGAAACCCCGCCTTTTGCCCGTTCGAATAAGTTTTCAAAGGGGCAAATGGAGAGTTCTTTCATGACAGAAAGCTCCTCCCCTTCGATACCGAATCCGTGACACCTTAGTTCATGGAAACGATAATCCGCTTTATACTTGTGGTCCCCTTATTCAATAGATAATTCGTGGCGGGAACATCACGATTGATCCGGGGTCCTCGATTTCATCATCTCAAGGACATGTCCAATTTGAAGACGTTGACTGCAGCAGTTTGGGGAGATTGGTGCCATTATAACACAAATATGATATAGAACCGTTCTTGTCACCATTTCGACGGCCCGAGATATACATGATATCGGGTCTTTGTCCATTGCCACTTGGACTGACGAAGTACTTCACGGTACATGAAGCGGCCCTCTGCACGACTACAGGAGCTGTGCTACTCGTAAAGGGTGGGTACCTAGAAGGCTCGCCCGAAAGCTGATGACGAGGCAAGTCCGGGGAGACACCGGCTGTAAGTGATGATAAACGAGACGATCTGACCGAACCGTATCAAAGGCTGTGAAAGGGCCGATTTATTATGGTGTGCGACAAACATCAAGTTTTGTGGGATTGTCGATCTGACAGGGGCGTACTTTAGTAGCAATTTGACGTCCAACTAGTCCCACCTCGCCACCTTCTACATGTACTTTATACAAAGTAGCTCCAATCCCTGTAGTATAGTGTTCTGCAGCCATTCTCGAAGCCTTCCTCAACGGCGTAGCTATGTGGTCATTGCGCAACATCATACCACCATATCAAACAGGCGTTGAGGAGTATCAGATGATCGTTGGCTTCTTCTACAATTGCATCACAGTCGGAGCCAATGAATATATGCAACAAATGCGGACCAAATACGAATCCTGGCGAACTCTGTAGTCGGCGCTCAATGGAAATAAATCGAGATAAGTGAGTTCAGAAACAACGATAGAAGATTTGCCAAAGAGCTGCCGAACAGCTACACGATGAAGTCATGGGCCGTTGGAACTGTGATAGCTCACTTTTGGGCCCTGTACGATCAATGGAGCCGTGACATCAGACGTGCCACTTATCTTGCGAGTTGAATATTGCACCCACTTTCCTTCCGTAGCGATAACTCGGGGCCTGCCATAGCGCAGGCAAAGTTGCGAAGAAAATACCTTGGAAGCAGCCGATCAAAGGTGGAGAAAAGGTCGGATGGTACCGAGAAAAGAGTGGAGGGATATGGCCGTGCGTGTAGTCGGTGCATAATTGAGGAAGAAAGGACCATTCTTTGGAGATAGTTACGGGCATCGCGTATGGATTAGAAGGATGGACTGACGTCAGATTGCCACCCTGGAATCAGATCCCCCACAATTGCAAGAGGCTGTCACGACATTAGTCTGTAATCATTAAACTAGTATATAGGGTCGGCTCTTGCCTCTTGCGCCGCATCCTTCTCCTTCCTAGCCCAATCTTGTTGTTAGTGATCATTCTCACCTACGGGTCAAATCAATTCACCCATCGAGCTCCTCACTCTCTACTAAGTACTTACTACTACGCTCTCTCCAATCTATTCGAAGCTGCATGGACCACCACCATTCCACGTGACCAGTCTGGGCCTCAGGAAGCCACGTCATTCGGCGGTGAAGCGCATTTCCCTCACTTTTCTGCCCCTTTCAGAGAGAACAATCGGGAAGGCGCGCCGTCGCGCTGCAATAGGGGAAGCGGGCCTCATCAAAAGCGATCGTCATCCTTGTCTTCTTCCCCTCATTTTTCGCCCTACTACTTCCCTCACTCTCTCCGTTCGGTATACTCTCTTTCGCCATCACCATCTAATTTCTCATTTGACACCCCGACGACCGGATAATTCATCCTTTGTATTTCAACATGTCCGATCCCACCCTCTATCTCTACACCTCCCTAACTGCGGGGTCGTCCCATATCGTCACCGCAACGGCACGCCTGGAGACAATTCTCAAAGCCAACAAGCTCCCCTTCCGCGCAATCGATGTGGCCACGGATGATGTAGCCAGGAAGCTTTGGGGCCGTCGCTCCAAGGGCAAGAAGCTTCCTGGCTTGGTGAAATTTGGCACTGTTGTCGGAGTACGGATTCCTCCCTTATCCCATCACAGAGAGGCTAGGTGGCTACTAGCGAGGGAAGCACAACATATACTGGGGACTACAAGCTAACACTTCAAACAACAGGACTTGGAGCAAGTCGAAGAATGGAATGAGTATGGTGAGCTGAGGATGCAGGTTAACAGTGTCGAAGACATCGACAGTATTCCCGCAACTAGTACTCCGATCGCACCCCCCTCGGCCGCATCTACCCCCACTCCCGAACCAACTACACTCAAACAAAGCACAATCAAGATTCAGAGCCCCCCGTCCAAAGAGACCCCGAAAGACACTGCCATCACGGCCGCTATGCGCCAGGCTAGCGGGGAGGCCGCTGCCAAGGCTAAGGGCAGCGGCACTCAACCTACCCCAGTCAAGGAAGCTACCCCAGTCAAGGAAGCTACCCCAGTCAAGGAAGCTACCCCAGTCAAGGAAGCTACCCCGGCCAAGGAAGCTGCCCCGGCCAAGGAACCCGCTCCGGCAGTTACAGAACAAAAAGAGACTCCGAAGGAGACTCCGAAAGAGACTCCGAAAGAGACCCCTGCCACTGGCGAGCAGTCCCAGGCAGGCAAGGAAGATACTGTACGTGGGAACGAGGCTGCTCCTGATGCTCAGGCTAGCAAGCCTAAGCGGCCGCCTCTCGTGCCCGAGGTAGCTGCAGAGTCGTCTGCTAATTTTCATGCTGATGCTGCTGAAGCTTTAGGAATGGTTCAGCACCACCGTGGCTCCATCATCTCCGCCACATCCAAAGAAGAACAGGAAAAAGTTGCACAGGACTTGCGGAAGTCTATTTCCGGGGGTCAACAGGATCTTCTCAAATCCTTGAGAGAAGATAATGCGGCGCGGACAGATCAGGAGGAGACGATCGAAGAAGAGTAGAGTGGTGTTGGTGGTGAAACCCAGGATGGGACCCCGGTCGACAGAAAGCGCGGGCTGCCAAAGTCAACGGCCGGGGTTGCGGTTGCATTCATTTCGAGACGACGAATACGACTCAGCGTCCTATTTTCGGTTATCGCGAGACTCTTACCCTTTCTCTTCCTTCCCTGTAAAGATACCAGCTTTCACTGTTGCTTGCTTGTTGATTTCTTTCTTTGTAATTTGCATTCAAACTTGTATATGTTCGAACTGGACTCATTGCCCATTACATACACAGTTGATGATCCCGCTGTTTACCTGCTCTATCTGATCCGTATACCCAACCCATAACCTTCTAAATATGCCTGAACGCGCATCGTCCGCCCGTAACCGATCAAATACTCTTTGACCCTTTTCGCTCATCACATGTCGACAGGGAAAACACCCGAAAAAGGGAACATTAAAATTCTGTAAGGCGCCAGGAAGAAGCTAGAAAACGAACAGAACAAATAGAAATGCGAGTGATCGCAACGAAAATCGTATCACATGAACCGAAGAAACTTTTTGTTTATGGTTTCCTTCCCCCCTCCCCCTCTTCTGTTTTATTTATTTCATTATTATAATTTATCTCTTCGGTTTACTCCTTGCGATACTTGTTGACGGTCTCGCGGAGTTTAGCGATGACGTCGGCGGGATCCTGAGCGCCAAAGACGGCCGAGCCCGCAACGATGACGTTGGCGCCAGCCTCAGCAGCCTGATCAATAGTACCCAGTCCCAAGCCACCATCCACCTCGATATTGAGGTTGGGGTATCTCTCCCGCAGAGCTTTGACCTTGGGCAGCTCGGAGGCCATGAACTTCTGACCACCGAACCCGGGGTGAACGGTCATGACGAGGACCATCTGTAAGACGCCAAGATAGACAGCATTAGCATGTTGTTGCTCCGTAGCTTAAACCTTATCCATGCACCACATTTGATTTTATGTGGGGTATGCTCCGCAAACATGTGCTGAGGGCCAAGAAAGACTGGGTTATGGGTTATGGGGATGTAGGATCACTCACATCCGGACGCTCCTTCTCGTTCTCATTCGCCAGGATATCCCAGAGCACGTCGACGGGGGTATCGGGCTTGATGGCAATTCCAGCTTGCATGCCCTCCTCGTGGATATAGCGGATCAGGTCCTTGGGGCTGGTCTTGGTGGTTGTGGTGTTGTCGGCGGGACTGGTGGCGGCGGTGGAGGAAATGGCGGCTTCGTAGTGGAAGCAGTAAAGATCACAGCCGGCGTCTTTGAAGTCCTTGACCCATTTGTGGGGCTGTATGGGGATTAGCATAGAGGTCATTGAGGTATGTAGAAGTCATTGGGATGTATAAATAGTGGTAGGAGGAAGAAGAGAGGCCAGACGCACTTCCTGGATCATCATGTGGCAGTCAAAGGTGCCCTTGCCGTTGGGTTCGGTGGGACGGGCAACATGGGAGCGAATTTTGGTCACGACGGGGGCACCAAAGGTCATGTTGGGGACGAAGTGGCCGTCCATGATGTCGACGTGCAACCAGTCGGATCCTTGGGCAATCTTGGTCGAGCATTCGCTGCCCAGGGTGCCGAAGTCGGCACTCAGGATGGAGGGAGCAATGATAGCTGGCGGGGACATGGTGGGTGGATTAAGAGGAGGTGAATCGGGAGGGAGATAGTAGGTCAATTAGTTCTGAGACCAAGGAAGCAGAGTTAGAATTTATTAGGATTCGGTACGATGCGGTATCACCGGAGATAAATGGAAAGAAGAAGTGGAGGGGCACCGGATTTATAGTTACGGACAATTGTTCTGACGACTGGTCACCGACGAACGAGGGGCCGGTGAAAGGGGGGGGAACAGGGTCACACCCGGGAGTGGATATCAAGGATGGGGGATGGAACAAATAATGGATGGAGACTCCATCACGGCCAAAAGGGCAACGAGCCATAAGTCAGCAGCGGATGTTGATATCACCGCCATTTTTCAGTTCTCAGTTTTGCCTTGTCGACGTCAGTTCAATCCCTCCGGAGTGCCCAAAAGGGAAATCTGCTGCCCGCCGATAAGGGCTAGGGTCCTGGACTGCACGTGGGGGGAGACCTTGGCTGCAGCCCGGTGGGGGCCTGGGTGCCTGAACACCCGGTCGAGACTCGCGCCCAATGCATGTCACGGGGTCCCTCCAACTGGCAACTGGCCATCCACCAGTCGTGTCTTGTCCAGTTCATCATCCTCCCTGCTGTGACCATCTATTTCGATGTCGACATGCTGGTCGGGTGACTCAACTATCCATCTCCCTTTTCAGTTTGCCGTTCGGAGTTGTATGCGGACCGGATTTCCCTTTTCTGTGCTTTCCTGCGGGTATCGACAGCTGGCCCATGCTCAATATGTGTGAGTTGGTTCCTACTAGTCAAGCTGGCTGTGGCTGGGATATACCCACGCTGCTTATCAACATAACTATAGTAGTAGCACTCCCATCAGTCTTCGTTGATGCTTGATCGTGATGATCCGAATTCAACTCTTTAGTATATTACTAAGTCCATTACATTACTACTGCCAATCCTCCCATGGCACGCCCCGGCCACGGCTATTGACCGCTTGGACTATCTCCGGCTGCCCATCGTTTTCTAAAGATAGAGCACTGGGCGCTTAGAGCGTGCCAATCACACGAACACCTCCCCAATCACACACAGCTTCAATGTCTGGCTGGAGGGCGGTTCTTTGCAGACAAAAAGATCTTCCCCCCACGGTGATTGGTACGCTTGCCTCCCGAGTCCGTCCGTTGTCGCCCATCATGGCTGGCCGACTGCTCGGATTCGTCGTGGCCGAAGCGCCCGCCATCCCACCACCAATGATAGCATCTTCAGCCTGTCCAGTTACAGGGATTACGGGTGCTTTGTGCGCAATGTTGCAGTAGTTCCTGCAGGTCTGGTGATGGTGGGAGGGTGTTCCCTTCAGATCTCCCTCCCTTCCCCTCTTTCCAGCGGTTTATTAGTAGAGCAAGCGCTACCGGTCACCAAAGGTGATCTTCACCTTACCCCATCTCGGTCGGATTCTTCATCACCTTTTTCTTTGTGTTTTGTGTTTCTGTCAAGTTATCGTGCCCTCAGCTCTGGTAGCTGGGTAATCATTCGTTCTGCTAATTCTCTGATATTGTTGATCCGTTGATCGGTGTCGACTGTGATCGAGATCCTCTGGCTGCTTTGTCGGATTTACATTGTTTGGTTCGACTTCTGCATCATATTTTGCATCCCATATCGTAATTGAAGGAAAATAAAACTAGCATCGGGCACATTTGGGCATCATGACGGACGTATACCGTCCCGCAACGGGCAGATGCCCACCTCTGCGACAGGTGCGAGGAACGAGGCTTGATACGATAGAGGAGGACGCGCGCGAGGCGCAGTATGCCGACTCTACAGGGCCTGTTGCCTCCAGCACCAAGCAGACACCACCAAAGGCACCGCAACCTCCACAGCCACCCCAATTGAAGCTCAAGACTAGTGGGCTCTCATCGGTGTCATCTCGACTGAATCGTTTCTTTTCGCCAATATCTGCAGGCTCGGTCTCCTCTTGTTCGGACACTGAATGGCAGCGTCAGATGCAACCGTTCGAAGACCTATACGATGCAACCGACGATGATTCTGACATCAGTGACGAGTGCACTTCCTTCGCTAGCACCCGGCCAACAAGCTTGGTGACACCCACGACGCGTACTTCAGTCTTCTCCCCCGTCTCCCGTAGTCGGTACCCGAGCCTCACGATACCATCATCCACAATGTGGCCATCGCTGCATGGTGCTGCAAAGAGCTCCCCGATCCCACCAACTCCGCCGCCAAAGATTCCTGTCTCTCCCGCCGCCCTCTCTATGCTTGCCCATTCGGTGCCGGCCGTGCATGCGCCGCCGTCCTTGGATGGCAGTGTCTCCTCGGACCAGGTGTCGAACATCAGTGCTCCAGCAACTCCAGACCTGCAATCCCTTCCAGACAATGATTGGACTGCGCAGGACGTGCATGTTCGTCACGAATTAGAAGATTCCCAAGACGAAGAGCTTGAAGCGGACCCGGATACCCAAAGCATTCAGATTGCTATCGAAAGCGCCAATGAGGACTGGCGGCAGGTCCTAGGCAGGTTTCCACGGATCCCAGGCGGTCAATCAACCGCATCGTCGATTGACTTGGATGCTGAGCCAGTAAGGGGAGACACACCGTCTGATCGAGGCGTATCTCTTCCTGCAGATGCCTTGGAGACACTGAGGCACATCTCACTCGATGGTACCCCAGATCCCTGGTCGGAAACTTCTGAGTCTAACGAAGAGATGTGGCAAATCCGTATGCCTCCAGAGCGCCCCCGGAGTGCGGACGACGCCACCCCGGCGTCGGAACTCTCAGGGTATAGTTTCAGCAGGCTGAGCATACCCTCACCCGGTGGCTTTTTTGCTTCACTGGGTCCACGAGCACGCCACACCTGGTCTATTCCCTGTGGAAATAAGCCACCGAATTCTGCCACTGCCGAGGGCTTCTACAAGCTACCGTTCTCCCGGACCGAGGGAGAGGTCGTGGAGCATGTAATAGACTACCCCGAACGGACGACAGAAGAACAGCTGACGGCCGTGTATGACCCCGTCGGACCACCCACTGCCATCAGGATCCCGGAGGAAAAGACACCCAGGTTATCTGATCACTTCGATGATCAAGCATGCTCTGAGGATGACGCTATGGACGATGCTATTGCACCCATCGGCCCGGACGATCAATACGAACGAGACGAGGACTACGAGAGCGAATTAAAGCAGAAAGCGATGTCGGGGCTGGACCGGACCAGCGATTGGCTGGCAGCCCAGGCTTCTTACCTTTCAGCTCTCAATGAGACCAATCCCGTGAATATGCTGGACGAAGGTCCTTACAACGGTGAAGGTGGGGGCAACACCGATCGGCAACCACCTAATCAGCTAAGCCGGAAGCAGTCTGTTCGGCTTGCCAAAGCGCTTCCAGAAGCGCCTAGCTCCCGCCCCTCTTTAATGGCGAGTAGAGACTCCATTTACTGGCGCGGATTTAAGGCGGTCCAGCAGCAGTCCGGCAGTCGAGATACCTTTGTGCATCGAAACACGAGATTTGATGCCGTTCAATCTGTTCGACTGGGTTTGACGGACGCGCATATCAAGCGTTTGCGTGGAAACTATGAAATTGCTCGTCCGGAACGTCCGGCCTACAAGGGACCCTTCTCGTTGGCGCCTCGCAACTCAACAATGGACTCGGCTTTGGCAGAGAAGGCCCAGTTCTCCATAGTTGAGAAAGAGCAGACTGTGCTGTCTCAAATTCGTCAACCAATGTGGGCCATGGACGCTCTGAGATATATCAACGGGGGTAGCCTGATTGTAAGCCCTGCTCTGAAGCAGCTGGGCTCGCGTAAAAGGGCACCCCGTCAACTAAGGATCCTCGATCTCGGCGGACACGCCTCATGCGAATGGGCTTGGCAACTAGCTCACGAGTACCCTCATGTGAAAGTCTATACGGTCTTTACCGAGCATCAGGCGGTCAACCCAGGCATCAAAGGGCCTCCCAACCACCGGCACCTTCCTGTATCCCAACTGTGGAAATTGCCGTTCGCCGACAATAAGTTTGATGTAATCTCGGCCCGCTCGCTTCCTGCTTTGCTAAAGAAGGAATGTCCGACCGGGGAGACACAGGACCAGTATGACCTGTGTCTGAAAGAGTGCCGACGCTGTCTCAAGCCAGGTGGTTACTTGGAGTTCTTTGTCATGGATGCGGAAATAACACGCGCTGGCCCGCAGGCATCTGCCAGGTCAGCTGAATTTGCGTCCGGTCTCAAGGCTCTGGGTTACGACCCGACACCGACCAAAGGCTTTCTCAGTCGCTTGCAGAGGAACTTTGCGGATGTCAAACGAGCCTGGATGTTCCTACCCATGGGTACTGAGCCGGTCAAGTCTGAACCACCTAGAGAGACCCCCGATCCGAGGGTAAAGAGCCTCATCGAAGAATGTGAAGCGGTGCACGGCCCAGTCGGAAGTACAGCTGATATTGCCAGTGTCACGGGGGTGCTCGGTGGCTGGATCTGGGAGCAATGGCTTGTGAAGCTTCAAACGGAACTAGGACTGGACCAACAAGACCTGCTGGCAGGCATTGGAACTGTCTTTGATGAAGGACGCAAGAACGGTGCAGGCTGGACCTGCTTGTCGGGATGGGCAATGAAACCGAGACCGAAGAAGAAGCGTCATGGACGGAACTCTAGCAAGGGCTGAGCCGTGCTTCTCCCTCCGATCTCGCTTCTCTTTTTTATGTTGAAGTTTCTTTGCCTATAATATGAACCTTAAGTTGCCCTGGTGGCACATATAATGTAATCGCGGGAGTCGTGTCTTATCGCTCTTTTCAAATACCCCTTTGTTTATGCGGAATGAGAGATGATGAATGCAGATTGAGGACCAGTGGAAGCCAGGGTGGATAGCTGCTAGCAATGACACTCACTTGATACCCATGCACAATCAGTAGTGCACGCCTCTTTGTAGCTATACTAGCTGACAATAGTACAAAATGGAAGTATGGCAGGCCTGCAGGTCTCATGGTATTCGCTTAATGACCAATACTGGACAGGAGCCGCCAATCTGCTGCCCCAACCTCACATGCTTCGAACCAAGGCTTTAGCTGATCTCCAAAGAATGAAAAATGTAAGCATGCTGCGAATCACACTGGAATAAGAAAATCAATCCAATTTTGATTCCACAATTGATTGTCATAGTTAGTTACCCAGCATAGCTGACACACGCGTCACGTGACCCATCACAATGCTCAACACCAAACCGCAGCATCATACCCGCAGCTCCAGATCATCGCATAATCCTCGTCTGCACGTCTTCCACCACCTAACCCACACAGAACCGAGGCAATCGATATCCCCTTGCCGACTTTCAGACAGCCAATGCGCTACTAGTCCATTCACCAACAATACCACACCCATAACAGCACTGATACCCCTTCAATCTTCCCCCACCTCGCACCGCAACCATGCTCTTCTTCAGGTAAGAAAGCGCGCGAGATCCTCGAACAAGCACCAAAGCGACCACAGCTAACTCCCACGTCCCTACGGGGATGACTATTTGGCAGCTTCTTCAAGACCTTAACCAACCAAACGGTGACCATCGAACTCAAGAACGACATTCGCATCCGCGGCACCCTCAAATCCGTCGACCAGTACCTGAACATTAAGCTGGACGATGTGGACGTCTTGGATCTGGATAAATACCCGCATTTGTCGTCCGTAAAGAACATGTTTATTCGTGGTAGTGTGGTGCGGTATGTTATGCTGCCGAGATCGGAGGTGGATATTGGGCTTTTGGAGGATGCGACGAGGAGAGGTATGTTTCCTCATCCCTGTCCCCTTGATCTAATTGAAGGAACATGCTTAGATGTTTCTGTATGTGTGTGTTTGGTTGTATGGGCTGCTAATGATTGGTTTGGTATATATAGAAGCTGCGAACCAGGCTGGGAAAGCTCGGTGATTTACGAATTGATTGATAGATTGTTGCTTTGATGGTTGGTTGATCAGGGTTTTCTACGGATGGGATTGACTATTTCTTTTTTCTATTATGTATTTTTCTTTTCCTATTTCCTTCTTTTTTTCTTCACTTGCAGATTTAATCTTCACGATGTGATGATGTTTGTCGTTGTCATGCTGGTTCACTTTTATTTATGTTGCTGATATCCATGGCTAAACATGGCGTGGAGAAAGAGAGAGCGAGAAAGAAAAAAGGAGAGTAGATTTACGTGGATGGAAGGCATCGGACTGGCTGTTCACCTCTCATGATGGGGCTGGAATGGTTTTGGTCGGAGCTGCAGCTGCTATGATGACGATGACAATAGGTATACCTGCATGTTACATCTACTCGATAGATGTATATGTAGTTGAGAGGACGAATACTGGCTACGAAGTTACTGGATAAAGACGTGAGTTATGTGTCTAGACAGAGTCTGCAGATACTATACCCAGTACCTACCTACTCAGTAGTAGTATAAAGACGAATGAAAAATAAATAACAAAGCCCATTTACCTACTTACTCCGATTCGTACTCTCGGTGCTCTAACTCCGCAGTACGAACCGCAAATGGAAACCAAAGGGTGGACAGATCACCTGACTTCGTGTCGCGAAAATCGAGTCTCCGCCGCGCCCGCGCCCGCTTATCTCTTTTCGCCGCTTTGGATATTCGACCAGTCCGACTGCCTCGAATCCTACCCTCCGCGTTTCTCAGTTTAACAAGACCACCATCTGTACAGTTATATTATACTTCTAATACACTACATAATACACTACATATACGACTGAAATTCAAACGAACATGCTTTGACGCTCACATTCCGGCATACATTTCCCATACCTAGCCGCATAATTCATCCGCCCGCCAGCCCGCCACTCGACTACGCGATAAAGACCGAAGCACACGATCACAAAGCCTGAGCAATGCCTACGCCGTTCCCTCCTAGAAAGCCCTCTACACCGTCCCGCGCAACACCCGCGAAGTCGAAATCTACGAAACGCAACACGAGTCTTCTCAGTTTCTTCCAGAAGGCGGACGGCCCGCCGAAAGCTACGTCCCGGCAATCGCGGATTACGCAATTCGCGACGAAGGCGGAGAGAAGTAATACTGGTAATGAGGGCTCCTCGGGGGTGAGGGGTGGGAATGGGGCTGCTGGCGCCGGGGGTTTGTTTTTGGAGGATGCCAAGAAGGTGGTTAGTCTTACGAGTGGAGGGGACTATGTCAGGGAAAAGACACCGGAGGATATTTGGGAGGAAGAAGAAGAAGAAGAACGGTTCCAGGAGAATGGGGGCAGTGTGAAGAAGAGGAGGGTTGGGGAAGCTATTGCGCTGGAAGATGACATTGATAATGGGAGTGGGGAGGATAAGAAGAGGAAGACGGAGAGTGAGAGTGGCACTGAGGAGAAGTCAAAGCCGAAGCCGTCTCGATCAGTCAGTGGACCGTTCATTGATGAGTCGGATAGTGAGAGCGAGGATCTTGAGCAGTTCAGGGAATATGAGAACGGGACTGAGAATGAGACCGGGGTACTGGATGAGAAGACAAACTCGGCGGATGAAACCCGGACCCCCGCAGTCGATGTCGACACACCACCGGTAAGAGAAGCCACGAGCCACGCCGATGATGATTACGCGAATTTTGACGATCTAGAAGAGGACGAGTTCCGAGGGGAAGAAGATTTCTTAGGTGCATTTGATGACGATGAGGATTACAAGGGTGATATTGGATTTGATGATAGCGGGGTTTTGGGTGAAGATTTTGGATGCGAAGCGCCGGTGTGTCCCGTATGTCAGGCTGTTTTGACAGGCTTGTCCGAGACGGTAAGTTGTGTGGATTGTGTCTTTGGTGCTGGTGGTAATGGTTGTTCTAGGATGTCTCGGTACATGTCAATGACTGTCTTGATGGGAAGCCTACGGAGTTGCTGAAACACGAGCCAGAGGCGGAGGCAGACCCGGACCCGGAGCCGGGACCGGAGCTAAAGACTACGAAAGGAATGAGCCTTGCGGACAGGGCTGCTATTGCGAGACCAGCGCAGCGTGACCCATATGCCTCTGGGGTCGCAGGGACGAGGTCGGCTTTTTCGAAGCTCATGGCCGGCAACGCGGAAGATACAGCATGGAGTGCAGCGGCGGCGAACGAGGTTGCGGCCCGTGGCAAACAGGCGTATCAACGGACGTGTCCGTTCTACAAGATCATCCCTGGATTCTCCCTCTGTGTGGATGCATTTCGATACGGAGCCGTAGAGGGATGTAATGCGTACTTCCTTAGTCACTTCCACAGCGACCATTACATCGGCCTGACGGGGTCGTGGCGCCATGGACCAATCTACTGCAGCAGACCTACGGCCAATTTGGTGTGCCAACAATTGAAGGTCGACCGGAAGTGGCTTGTACCACTTGAGTTCGAGCGGAAGACGGAAATCCCGAATACGGGAGGAGCGCAGGTGACTTTGATCGAGGCTAATCATTGTCCTGGGAGCGCCATCTTTCTCTTCGAGAAATCAATGGGATCGGGTCCCTCGCAGAGAACACATCGTGTCCTCCACTGTGGTGACTTTCGCGCCTCGCCGCTTCATGTGCAACATGCCCTTCTCCGCCCGGAGATTGCTGACCCCGCAACCGGCAGGGCTCGCCAGCAACGAATCGATGCCTGCTATCTGGACACTACATATTTGAGCCCCAAGTATGCATTCCCTGGCCAAGAAGATGTCATACAAGCCTGCGCAGAACTTTGCGTTGAGCTCGATGGGGACGCCAACGACACCAATGGACGAGCGTTTGGACGACCAGTCAATGGAAAAGGCGGAATGCTGAGCAAGTTTGTTACGGCTGTGACTGGATCCCGCCCGTCTCCGACGCAAGACAGCCGCCCCCCTGGCCGGCTATTGGTAGTAATAGGGACGTACAGCATCGGAAAAGAACGCATCTGTCTGGGGATCGCACGGGCATTGAAGAGCAAGATCTACGCGACGCCAGCTAAGCAGCGCGTCTGTGCGTGCCTCGAGGATGCTGAGCTGTCATCGCTGCTGACAGACGATCCCACGGAGGCGCAGGTGCATATGCAAACGCTATTCGAGATCCGGGCGGAAACGCTGGCGGATTACCTGGACTCGATGAAGCCGCACTTCACGCGGGTGGTGGGATTTCGACCAACCGGGTGGACGTATCGCCCGCCAGCTGGCCGAATGCTGGACAACCCACCGGTGTCGGTGGTGCTCAATTCGGCACATTGGAAGACGCCCTTTTCTGCGAAAGACCTGGTGCCACAGCGAGGGAGTACGCGGGAAAGCGCATGCTTTGGAGTGCCGTACAGTGAGCACAGCTCATTTCGGGAGTTGAGCATGTTCTGCTGCGCACTCCGGATCGGACGGGTGATCCCGACAGTGAACGTAGGTAGCCGGAAAAGTCGGGAGCGCATGAAGGCGTGGATTGAGCGATGGGAGGCGGAGAAGCGGAAGAATGGGTTGTACCGCGTGGAGGGGAATAGCTGGTAGGGAAGGGAATAGATGGCTCTACCAACGTCCAAAGTACTGCTGGAACACAAGGATCAGCAGGATCAGAAGGATTGCGAAAGACGGGTCGGAACATGTTGCCTAATAGAGTAAGTAAGGAGTTGGTGCTGTAACTAGTCACAAGTTACGAGTTGTGTACATAACATCATTAGTCATGAAGATCAATTGCCTTTATGCTTCCGTAACTCTCGCCTCCCCGGAGTCACGAGATCAATAGAAACCACCGCCGTTGACCATTCGCGATGCTCTCACTGGCTCTATGCTGTTGATAGCCATGGAGCCGTTCAAAGTATGGACCCTTTGGGTGAGGATCTCCCTCCAACCCCACGGGACCTACACGAACAACCGAGCAGAGGCGGGGGAGGGCAAAGAGGCCGGCGCTGCAAATCGGCTGGCAGATCAGTCGCGGCTCAGCAGAGACTCCCGATTTTCCCTTCCGTTGCCTGGCTTTGCCTCGGGGTTCGAGAGGAGCCCGTCTGCCATAAATAAGCCTGCACTTCAACTCAAAAAAAAGGGAGATGACAGATCAACCACTCTCTCGACAAGGAACACTCTTCACCCATGGCGATACTTGAGTGAAGTAAGTGGACTGTGACTGATATTATTTTCTTCTTCAACCATCCTTTTTCGATATATTACCTTATAGTTGCTTATTTCATTTCGGAGGTAAGATGGTCTCCTTGGCACCCACATTCCCGGCTGCACTTTGCGGCTGCGGAATTACTTCTCCTGGCTGCATTTGCCGGTGTTAACTTCCGAGCTCACCAGCTTCCTCCCCTCCCCCCACAAAATCAATCATGCTCGCCCTGCTCCTGTCACCTTACGGGGCCTATCTGGGTCTAGCCCTGCTAGTCCTCTATTATCTCCTTCCTTACCTAAAGCGCGCTCACCTCCGCGATATCCCCGCCCCCGGTCTGGCCGCCTTCACCAATTTCTGGCTGCTCCTGCAAACTCGTCGCGGTCACCGTTTTGTCGTCGTCGACAACGCTCACAAGAAATATGGAAAGCTCGTTCGCATCGCCCCCCGTCATACCTCCATCGCCGATGATGGCGCCATTCAGGCTGTCTACGGCCACGGAAATGGCTTCCTGAAGTCGTACGTGCCCCTCGCCGCTTGTATTTATCTGCTCCTGGCAGGTAGAATTATCCCCCGGAAGCTAATCAACTCTTGTTCAGTGACTTCTACGATGCCTTTGTCTCCATTCACCGTGGTCTCTTCAACACGCGCGACCGCGCGGAGCACACCCGCAAGCGCAAGACCGTGTCTCACACCTTCAGTATGAAGTCCATCGGTCAGTTCGAGCAGTACATCCACGGCAACATCGAGCTCTTTGTCAAGCAATGGAACCGCATGGCCGATACCCAGCGCAACCCCAAGACTGGGTTCGCCAGCCTGGACGCCCTGAACTGGTTCAACTACTTGGCTTTTGACATCATCGGTGACCTGGCCTTTGGCGCTCCCTTCGGCATGCTCGACAAGGGCAAGGATTTCGCCGAGATGCGCAAGACTCCCGACTCGCCTCCTTCCTACGTCCAAGCCGTCGAGGTTCTCAACCGCCGCGGTGAAGTCTCCGCCACCCTGGGCTGCTACCCGGCCTTGAAGCCCTTTGCCAAGTACCTCCCCGACAGTTTCTTCCGTGATGGTATCCAAGCCGTCGAGGACCTGGCTGGTATTGCCGTCGCCCGCGTCAACGAACGTCTCCGCCCCGAAGTCATGGCCAACAACACCCGTGTCGACCTGCTCGCCCGTCTCATGGAAGGCAAGGATTGCAACGGCGAGAAGCTGGGTCGCGCCGAGCTCACCGCCGAGGCATTGACCCAACTCATCGCCGGATCCGACACTACCTCCAACACCTCCTGCGCCATCCTCTACTGGTGCATGCGCACCCCCGGTGTGATCGAGAAACTCCACAAGGTCCTGGACGAAGCCATCCCTCAAGACGTCGACGTCCCTACTCACGCCATGGTCAAGGATATCCCCTACCTCCAATGGGTCATCTGGGAAACCATGCGTATCCACAGCACCTCCGCCATGGGTCTCCCCCGTGAAATCCCCGCTGGTAACCCCCCCGTCACCATCTCCGGCCACACCTTCTACCCCGGCGACGTTGTCTCCGTGCCCAGCTACACCATCCACCGCTCCAAGGAGATCTGGGGTCCCGATGCCGAGCAATTCGTCCCTGAGCGCTGGGACCCCGCCCGCCTTACCCCCCGTCAGAAGGCCGCTTTCATTCCCTTCAGCACGGGCCCCAGAGCCTGTGTCGGTCGCAACGTCGCGGAGATGGAACTCCTGGTTATCTGCGGTACGGTGTTCCGCCTCTTCGAGTTCGAGATGCAGCAGGAGGGTCCTATGGAGACGAGAGAGGGTTTCTTGAGGAAGCCTCTCGGACTGCAGGTCGGTATGAAGAGGAGACAGCCTGGTTCGGCTTGAATCAGGGGCTGTGGTGTATCTCCTACGGTTTGAGATACTCGGAGGAAATGAAAGAAGGAATGAACCTCTGTGCATAGAATTTTTCCCCTACAGACCGGGAAGACGATTGAAGAGCTTTTCCTGTATATGTATAAGCGAGTTGCGAGAATGGATTAGTATATAGTTAGCATTCATCCATGCAATGAATGACATGATGAGATGATCAATTCATTATATTGACATTTTCTTTCAGTGCTTTTCTTTTTTTTTCTTTTCGTTTTATTCTTTCCCTCCGACATTCAGTGGCATGATACAATTTGTTATAGATTCACATGATCACCACATGTCGTAGAAACAAGTCCATCAGGAGCATCATCATCACGATCCAATATGCAAGGCAAAATATGTCACAGGATTCACATTATGAATTATTTTAATAGCTTAGCAGAGACAGGTCGTGATCATAGCTGCGTAGCATATACACAAAAAGAAGCAGAAAGTCCCACCCACCATTCATCATCATCATCATCAATACACCCACCCTAATCAAACATATACCCTACACCCCTCCACTCACTACCAACTCTTTGGTCCAAACGTCTGCCCACTCGGCAGGATCTTCTGCACTGCAGTACCCGCCATATCCATAGTAGTACCGGTAATACTAGTACCCCACCAAGTCGGGAAACTAGTACTAGTCAAATCGAGGGTCAAGAAAATCAGGATGGTACACAGATCCAACCCGACGTCCAGACCCGCAGACAGGACGTAGTTGTAGTGCATCCACCAGCCGCGCCAGCGGTCCCGGATGTACTTGTTGAAGATGATACCCACGATACCCCAAGTAAGGTAGTTGAGGGGTGTGGCGGGGGGGATCAGACCCGCTCCGCCGAAGATGAGCGGGGCGTTGAGGAAGCGGATCTGGCTCTTGGGGTACATGCGCGCGCCGATGTAGATGAGGACGGGAAGGATGGCACCGGCGAGCCAGAACCACATGAGGCCGGAGTAGAGCTGGCCTGGGGAGAAGATGCGCTGGGGGCCGATAAGACCCCAGATGACGGAGGCTTGGTAGAAAACACGGCCGTTGGGGCAGCTGTAGTTATCGGCTTGGGTTTCGCTGCAGACGTCTTTGATGGTGGCGAGACCCCAGTTCATCACGGCGATTTGGACGACGGAGGACCAGAGGGCAGCGATCATTTGGGCGGCGAAGGTGACTCGCGGGGGTAGTTTCATGTAGTGCGCTGTGGAAGGGTTAGTGGGGCTTTCTGGTAGGTATGGGGATGGGATAAGGATGCTTACCTAGTTTCATGTCCTGGTTGAAGTAGAGACCTTGGTACATGCTCATGTAGCCGTAGGTCTTGAACAACATCATGGCCATGGGCTTTCCGGGCTGGATGTAGCCGACAATGAATTCCGTCAAGACGTTCAGACCAATGGCGATGTTGGTGGCGGCTTGCACGATACCAATTGGCACGTACCACACCAATGCCATGATCAAAGAGACAAAGAACGCCCACCAGCTCAGGTGAGTCGGGTATCCCAGAACCATGCCTAAGCCGATTCCGATCATGATGAGAGTGATGGCGGCATACCACCAGAGGGGCACCGTCTTGTACTTGGACATGAGGCGGGCGTGGACATCCTCCTCTTCCTTGCCAAAGTTGCGGAAACGCACCCACAGTTCCTTACCGTGGAACAGACCAGTGTGGATCAGAATAGCAATGATGGTCGCGAACGACAGTCCGTAGCAGAGACTGAAGGTGGTGGACAGGAACAGCGGCGAGTATTCCTTGTATGCCTGGACATCGAGAGTGAAGTCCTTGGTCATGATACGGGACACATTGTACTGCGCACCGGTGTTGTCGTAACTGTTCGAATCGCTCATGGGCAGGTATTCGAACCACCACATGCCGCTGTAGTGCATGCCAATGGTGACGATCCAGAAGAAAATGAACATACCAATAAGGGTGTTGGCAATTGCATGCCAAGGCGCGATCAGGGGACTGAAGTTGAAGCCGGAGATTTGCGTCCAGTCAAAGGTCATAGGGATTAGAGACAGACCAGTGGACCCGCCAAAGAGCTGGTTGACCACGGCATTCTGGGGCTTGATCCAAGTCACCCAGGCGAAGATACTGAGGAACGGAGCGATAACACCGGGGATCCAGTACCAGCAGAAGGAACCGATCATAACGTAGAGGAAGAACCGGTACTTGCCAATCCTCCAACCGGCTACCTTGTTGGGATCGGGTCGGCTGTGGTCATGAAGCGCCGAGAAGAGGGTGCAGTTGATCAGATTGGAAGGCCAGATCATGGCAGCTGGAGTGACCAGGAAGCGGTGGAAGAACCCAGCCATACCAAACCCGAGCATCTGGGTCGAGATACACATGAAGATTTCAAATGCCCATCCGAATCGCTGCTTGTAGAAGGCTCGCTGGGCCAACAAGACGTCTGTCGCATAAGCCGCACCACCACCAAAGGTGGCATTGGCCATGACGACAATGAGACAATGCTCCTTTTTGCTGAAGGGACCGGGGTTCGTGTTGCACTCGATTCCGAAGAAGCGGAACTTCTTGCTGGGGATGAATTTCGCCCATGCGACACCAACAGGGTAGGCGACAACCTGGGCGACGTAGGAAGGAATGACGATATAGGGGTCACGCATCGAGAACAGCATGTTAAGCGCCGAACCAATGGTCGCAAAGATCAAACCAATGGTCCAGGCACGAATGGTGTTGGTGTGGCCTCCTTCATCGTAGTTGGGCACGGCCGCACGCACCTCGGGGTACGGCGAATTATCGAGGAGCTCCTGCGTAATGCCCACGCGGGCACCCTTGTCATCCGTATTGAGGGCCTCATCGATCTCGTCGGCAATATCGTCCGGGAGGTTCGGGTCCCAATGGTGCTGTTCCTTCAGGTTCTTGAGATGGACGGTGGCTGCCTCCGGGGAGGATTCATCAGCCACCGCCGTGCTGAAAGCCTGCTCCTTCTCACTCATCGCGGCAGTTGATGAGGGGAAGCACGAAAAAAGGCTTTGGGGGAAATCAATGAAGACAGTAGTGCATGCACGGAACTCATCCACTGGTTCAGAGGAGTAAACAAGGGAACACAGAAAGGGGGGGCGGATGAAAGCATCATATAACCACCCAATTTACCCTCTCCTGGATAGCGACGACAAGAGGCGCAAATAGAGCCGACGGTAACCCGACGCCTTATCGGACTAGGAAATAAATTAAACGAGCTGGTGGCGTCCACTGATTGCGGGAGAGTTTATCTCTCCGGTTATCAGTTACCCCAGTCTGTTCGCCATGTTCCGATGTAACCTGAATGTGTCTTAGCTTTGGTAGTAGCTGGATTGGACTTGGAACCAGTCGTGCGTTAGCTAGTAGATCCAGCCAGTGGCGGACTTGGGAGCGCATTTGCCATTGTCAGCCCATGCACGACATGCACGGTCCTCGGGGAATGCTCCCATCCCTAACCTCCCTTGCAATTTGGCTGCCTAGGTAATATCAGATGAGAGAGTCTCATAGTTTCGCGCAGACCGATAAGTTGCACCGAAGCGCATAAGGCGCGCCCCTCCGGTGAAGGAACTAGCCCCAGAACCTAAAAATTGGGGCAAAAGGAAGACCTGTCCACCATCCGGTCCGGTGAGCCAGCTGAATTACTGGTACACTGGGCGAGCTCGATCGCAGTCGACCCAGGTGGGGATTCGGTCATTCGGACGATCCCATTGATGGGAATTGGCACGCGACCAGAGACACGTGCATTTGATTCGGCGATTTAAACCAGGAAAGAACAAGCAAGTTACCACTAGACTGACTGCAATACGTCTGAAGGGGGAGGGGGGAAGGAAAGGGTCGCCTTTGACCGGAGGTATGTCTCGGATGTGAGCGAAAGGATCGGGGGTTGGGTGGTGGCAAGATGGGCAACGAGACCACGCAAGTGGTTGCGCTGGACGAAGAGGGATTCCAATGCAAACCAGTGCCTAAGAGATAAAGAAAAGATTACCAACGAATATCGGCGGAAAAAGCAACGCTGATACGGCGGCAGCAGAAGTGCAGGCACGATGGTCAACTTTCCCCGGGTCTCGTCCGGCGGACTAGCCCCTTTTGCACCAGGCTTGTTTGCGATAAGCTAGCGAAGCGCCGGCGGGCTTCACACGGCGAATTGGCGGGCGCAATTGTGTTCGAGCCATCATCCGCACGGCTTCAGCGAAAGCCAATGGGGCGTTGTCTGGACTTGGCAACTCTCTAGCCGAGGTTTTCTGGATGTTCTTCTCTCATCGCGTGGCATTCTTCGTGTTTTGCTCTTTCCCGTGCAGAATTCTTGTCGATCGACTCGGTCGCGCCGTGGACTGGGGAAACCAGGTCAGCCAGATGCTATCAAAGCCACCGAACACGAAGATCCCATCCTACAGTGACTTGACCAGGACCACAGTTTGGTCTTGCTTTTCCGTTATCATGCACTAGTCCATGACAAACCAGCCTTAGCCATTGGACAATGCGCGGACTGTTTTCGGGCGGGCGGGGACGGAGGGACACTGATAAGCAGCTGAGCACTTCCGGACATTGGATGGGCACCGTAAATCCCCAGATTGGTCCATGCCAGACTAGTCGTGGACGAGGTGTATCATGTCGACGTAAATTAAATTAGCACCTGCCTTCTTCTGCTTAGTTGGATGGTGTGGGAAGAGCCCTATCCACCCCGTCGTCTGCCACTAACGGCACGGCGGGATGCACCGTCCCCAGTTAGCCTTCCGGGCTGCATGGAAACATGGAACATGGCACTTCGCCATCGAGACGCGGGAAGAACCTCATTCTCGAACATCCCCCTGACTATTAAAGGATTGACCCCCTTGCTGATACCATGTAACCCACATTTAGTGCGTGTCTGGATGTGTGCGTGTGTGTGTGGCAGGGGTAGTTGACCCGGAAGCACTCGAGTTGAGAGAGCAAGAGAGAGAGGGAGGAGGCGGAATGGAAGAAAGAGACAACAACCGGTTTAGCCTGGAATCACTTGACCGCTGGTCATCCTTCCATTTAGCGCCAACGGCTTGGCTGCCCGATCTCCTTGTTTCACAACTTTCTTCTACTGTACTCGTCTCTTCCCTTTGCCTTCCCTGTCCCTCATCCACCCTCCCCTCTTCTACGTGCTGGTGCACTCTATAGTTCGAACGCCTCTTGATGCCTTCCCTCTAAGCGAGCCTACTTTTGCCGAGAAAAAAGATAGGCGCAGCCACTGAAGAGCCACCGGATGGCCGAATGGAATGCTGACTCCTTGGCATGTAGCATGAAGATTGCCGTATCAGCCGATAACGCGAGGGGCCAGAGTGATCTCGAAGGCAATAAGATTAGATTGAACATCAGGGCCAGCTAACCCATGCATCCTGGACTCGCCATGAACCACTTAGATGAGTTGGTGTCGACGTTGCGCTACATCTCCAATCTAGCCCGTTTGCTGGCTAGACTAGAAGCCCCGATCTGGGGTGGGTAACGCGTCTAATGGATACGAGGTAGATAAAGAAATATTATACAAGACGGGGACACATAGTGTGCTTACGGTTTAGCCGGACAAAACGCCTATTTCAGCCATGATTACAGGGGCATGCACACCAATATGCGACCACCAGGCACTGAGACTTCCAGTAGGTCGACTGCATATGCCAGGTTTGCTTTAGCTCACTGCGCCAACGGGGCTCCGTTGGGTCGGCCGGCTGGCTTGAACCTTATGCTTCTCCATCCCATGATCTGGCGTTTCCTGTCGGCCCCCCTCTCTTACCCCTTTGATGATTGGTGGTTCATGTTGGCTATCGGAGTCACGCGATAGACTGCTCGTCTCTCCGCCCATGTAAGCCGATCGAATGACGGTCTTGCGTCGAGGATTGAATTCTTGTTTTGTAGTTCGGGTTTTGCCATCGTGGACTTCCACCCTGATTTTTCGCAGCTCGCAAGCAGATTGGTGACTTACAGTGGTCCGTACGGTTCGGTGGGAGCGAAGAGAAACTCATCCGTTAATGCCCATTCGAAGTCCGCCTGGAATTGCTCGTCAAAATACGAGAAATCTGGCCGATCCGTAGAGCCTCCAGACACGTTCCCTGAAATAGCTAGATTGTCGCGGTTTGCATCGGTTCCTGTCGTATATGAAAGTTGCGTCAGTAACCGTGCGTATCTACCAGGATGCATGGCCGTACCTTCCGGGGCATTGCTTTGGGAAGTGACCGTGCTATAGAACTGGGGGTCGAACTCCTCTCGCCACCACCACACCGTATCGATAACAGGACTGACGACCAACCGGCTCCGGATCCGAAGAGCGAGGTATTCACTTCCATCTGCCTTCCGGAACGCTTTGGTGCTATTCCATAGTTGGCTTAATACCATGACAGTCTTGGCCGCGATATCAAAGTTGTAAACTGACATTTGCTTGGCCAGGTTAATTGCAGTGAAATAAGATGTCTTGGCTTTTTCAACATCCATGGTAGCCCATTGGGAGCCTTTCAATACCCGTAGGAGGGCTGAGGATGCTAGAAGCAACGCATAATTCATCTGGATGGGAGAAGTAGCATAACCGGCCATGCTTTGTCCCAGACTATGTATGCTGCTAATAGTGTCACATGCGGCAGTCGTCAGCGTTGCCAGACAGCCTGATGAGAATGAATTGGGATTTCGGAAAAGGTGGAAGATTTGGATACTCAGACGGCACATGCTCGTAGCAAACCTGTCGTACGCTAATCTGCATTAGATTATATTATTATCCATACGAAGAGAAAAGGGCCTACCTGAGAACGCCTGCGCCTCCAGGTCAAGTGCTTGGTCATCATATGCCCGTAAGAGTATATCGAGCGATCTCTCTTGTTCAGAGGATAGGTTCCGGACTCCGAGCTCCAGTACTGCTGTACTACACCGGGTTTTCAAATCCTCGCACTTCAGTTCAAGCACTAGCGATGGAGAGATCCTCTGGAACAACGAATGTTTCAGGTCCCCATCCAGTTCCAGGTTTACTAGAGAGCGAGGGGGTTGTCCTTTTATCACACACGTACTGTACCCAGTTAGCAGGAAGAAACCAAATACCGGGGCGAAGCACGTACCGCTGATAGACGATAACACAATGAGCCCAGAGCTCTGACCGTCTGATCATTTCTGCTTCTGATGGAGCAGGGAGCCTCTTTCTCTTGGAAAATTCATGACTGGACATGGGAATGTGTAAACCATTTTGCATGGCAATATGGAGAAGCATGCCGCTTAATGGGAACGTCACGTCCGCCATAGTGGCATCTTTCGGAAATGGCCATGTCAGAACTAGCAGCAGCCCCTGGATGCAGTGCCAGGCTGAGCTCCCTGATATGATAGAGAGTAGGGCCATTTCGTTTATATTGCGCGCAAGAGCAGTTAGCAGAGTTGGGTTTTTGGAATAGGTTCGGGACGCAATGCCGACTATAGACCAAAATAGAAACGGTGAATGCGTATAGTACACATTTGGAGTGGTTTCCGGGTCAAGAATTGGAAGGAACGGAGCATATTGTTGGAAGAAGCTGTTCCGCATCAGAAACGCCCAAAACGATATTTTCGGGGCAAAAATATACTCACATCTGGAAGAGCTCGTCTATCTCACTTCCGGTCAGGTAGATGTTGTTCAGTGAGCGGGGCTCCGTCGCATCGGGGGCGCGTACACCTGAAATCATCCCCGGTCCCGGTAATGGCGGTCCTAGTCCAGGAGAAGGTAAAACATGTTGCGAATCCTCAACCGGGGGTGTATGTGACTGAGTATGGAAAGCCAAGTCGCCCTCAACAGCTGCGGAATTAACTCCCATCTCAGCCGCAGCCGTTAGCATCGCAATAGGCGAGGGTCGAGATGGATCGGGTTGTGCATATCGCAGTCTTCGTCGCAGCTCATCGGTCTCTTGCTCGAGCTCGGACAGTCGCCTGTTGTGGAATGGTTACAATTTATCACCTGTCAATCATTTAAATATAGAGCCAACATACTTGCGTTTGTGCTCCCGACGAAAGGGATCCGATATTATACACTGAATGTTCAGCTTTGAACAACGCGAGCATGCCTGAGTGGGATTCAAGTAGGCGTCACATTTTGCCTGTTATTCAATTAGGAATAGCCATTGGTAGATACTGAATCCCATTTCCGTTATCGTCAGAAAGACACCCATGGTTTCAAAATCCATACCTTCTGCTGCCTACACTCAGTGCAGGCCTTTTTACCTCGTTTCACCGATGGTGAAGGTCTATTATCCATCCATGTTAGTACTGGTTATGCATTTGGGCAGGCGAATCTAGCATTCGAGTCATCATACATAGCGGTAATTACTTACGTTCGCTCGCCAGATGCCATTTCACGCGATGCATCTTGTATGCGGACTCGAGCTCTATGATCCGGTGGCTCATGCTGCTGTTGTTGCGATGATGAACGTTGGAGACGCCGGCGGCCAAGATTCGGCTCCAGAGCAGCGCGCGGAGATAACTCCATTATAATCTCCGATACAATGCCTTAAGAAGTCGGAAGTGTTGGAATGTAACAGCCTGCCTGACGAAGTTAATACAAAACCAAGATATGACGGAAATTTGTCATTACTAGAACTAACTATATCAACTCTTACTAAGAGTACTTACTAGACAAAAGTAGGGGCCGAGCCGCCAAGGAACATGACGGTTAGTGATGTTGAAGACTCCGTCGCGTGATTGCCTGACAAAAATATATATGGAGGTATCCACACTCGATAGAGAGATGCTTAGTGAATAAAATTGAAAATGATGGGCCTATCCATGACAAGTCAAACTACAAGCCAAGCTGATTCTTCCAGCCTAGAGATCTCCCACTCCATCCATTGGGAACACTTGGCCATCAAGCCTTGTTTTGCCGGAACCGGCCTCTGAAATCACGGGACTTCGGAAAAAGGTACAATATCATTGGCCCATATCCCGGTACCGGCTTTGTGGCTTATCGCTATCGCTGTGATTCTGGGACAATTTATTGTTCACCTGCAACCCAAACATAAATTGAGCAGTACTTTAAGAAAAAGAGGAAGATATAGATGGGGATATATTCTCTAGTCTGTGCTTTGAAAGGTTATAAGAAGAGCAGCATCATTGATAGATCCATGAGGCGATTGGGACAATATATATATTGTAGCGACTGATTATTATAACCAAAATAGTATGCATATCCTGATTCTACCGCGAATGAGTACCATACTCTATTTCACTATTGGTGAGAACCTGGATAGCTAGTACTAGTACATGCTATGAGGCTGCAAGACTGGAAACTCTCGCGATGCTACAATCTCACGCATATGCGCCCCTCCACGCAGATGGTATAACTGCTAGGACATTTTCGCTCAACAAGGAAAGGATATCCCAACTACCATAGCTCCTATAGGTTTGCACCAACATTAGGCTACAAGACCCATGTAAAGAGGCTAGTCCCAGTGGCTTGGATCAACTGCCGACTTGAGATGATGTCATCAGAAGGCCACATGCGTGAACCACCATCAGCAGTAACACAATCTGCCTCCCTTTTCCTTCCAACCCCTATGGTTGCTGATGCGGCCAAGCGCATATGTAGCGTACCACGTCGTTGATACAGTACTGCAACCCCCTAAGTAACACGATTATAGATCGGGACGCATGGGTAGCTCTCTTTCATTGAAGATCTGCAAGTTGCCGGCCAAGTATCCAGACTTAGCTTCTATATCAGACCACACTCTTGGCGAACTATGATGTTACAGTGCCACAAGTGCACCAGAAACTCGCTGCTACACTGAGTGATGTGACATGACACTTGTTAAGTTGCTTGCGTGTCCTTCGGGACCGTTGTAATCCAAGCACTCGGGTGCCCGTGGGGCAGATAGTCTTCGTAAACGTATACTGACGTACATGAAGGTGTCTCGATGTGGAATTGCTCCCCACCGTTGTATTCGCGACAGAGGTTGCTTTGATCTGTCATTTCACCAAGTAGCCATCGCAAATGTCCAAGGTCTTCGAGACGCAATGACCGGTCTGTAAAGTGGCTGATGTGAATCTGGATTGGATGCGTAATAATTGCAAAGTCTGTTTGCAGAGCCATGTGAAGACGGGGTGGTGACAAAGGACCCAACTGACTATATGGTAGTAGCCACGATATCAGTAATATTATAACCCAACTAGCATCGTATGCTGTATGGAGCCATCTCGTGGGTGCCCTTTAGTTGTCAGTAGATGGGAATTTGGAAAGCCGAACCGTAGACCTCGAGCTGAACTCCGGATGCAAAGACCATGATAGAGGTGTCATTATCTCACTCTCGCCATTATACTAATACTTCTGCTCACTAGTAATACAGGATCTTGTCCTGAACCTGACGTGCCCGGGAGTGGCGAAAGGGGATGAGGCGGGCACAATGCTCGATTTACTCACCGTGACATCACCGCTGGCACAACGCGTCGATCCGACATATAAACATCAAACAACATGCAAATCCCTTATTGAGAAAGAAACTTTCACATTCATCAATACATCATGTCCTCTGAAATTCCAGATATCCCTGAATTGAAGCGCGCCGTGGAAAGCGGCCAGCGCATTGACCCAGGGGATGTCTCTGCTCTGGCCCAGACCGAGAGCGAATTGAGCGGTGGTGGGCCCATTAGAGGTGGAACAGCAGGTGCGTTCATACTACTTTTAGGCATTGATGCATTGTATTGACCCAAGCAAACAGCAACAGCACAATGCCTGGCCATGAAGCAGATGAATTTCGACGCGAAATTGGAGGCTTTATCGCGAAAGCCACAGAGCCACATAACACAGGATGATGCTCGGGAGCTTCACGCGGCTGAGGTAAGGACATCATGGTTGTACTTCTCTCTGAGATAAACAAAGAGATTTAACTCGCATGTCTGATGCAGGGCCGCGCCTTCAACAAGCCACCCGGTCCCGGGTCCGTCTCCGCGCAAGTCCAATCTATAGCCGATCGCAATGAGGCCCTTGGAGTCCCTGCTGTACCGGGAGAGGCTCCTGTGTACATTACGAAGGATGATGCGAGGGAGGCTCAACATGCTGAATCGACGATCTATGGCGGACAAAACCCACGGGGTGGGATTGCGGCACAGATGCAGGTAAGTGAGAGTAGATGGATGGACCTGAGCGTCCCCGTCTGGTCTGGACTACAGCTAACAATTGGCCTAGAGTGCTGCTGATAAAATTGAACATGCTTATCAGGACTAATTCGTCTACATTCATGGGTTTCAAGTCTGACAAGGCCATAGTGAGCCTATATTCTATCCCATTCTAATTGCCCATTGCTCATAAAAAGCCATCAGTACATATTATGACTGTTTCAGAACATATTCGCTATTGTTTATATTTCATACATTTCAAGAATAAGCTTCTTTGTTACTCTATTCGAGATAAGCGATGTATAATTGTACATTCAAGTATAAGATAGTAACTAAGCTTATTATCGCTCTTGGAAGCGAGGAGAGACGGCTAAATTTGGCTTCTGTCCTCGGTGACTTTTATAAAATATCATCACATTTACGGTGTAGGCCCATCTATTTGTCTCGCTTAGTAGTCTTGGCATGTGGTTTCAGAGGACAGCGATGTCAATTTTACAAGGTCAAGCCTCCCAAAGGGATATTTCTTTTTTTGTAGGTAGCTTACGACAACTAATTACAGATGTTGTTTGGAAAGCCATTGATAGGTGGTCATGTTTAATATTTACTGATTCCAGGTGTGATCATCGATCACTTTTGCTAATTCGTCTTTTCCAATCTCATACCTTGTATGCCTTTTGCTCATGATGCATACTGTATTCAAAGATTTTGGACTATGAAGGCAATAATCGGGCTGAGATGCTTGGTTCTGCGTGGCTTTGCATATGCAGAGTGATGAAATGCATAGATTCATACCTAGAAAGGTTATTTCTCCGCAGCGATGCCAATTGGTTCTTTCATCTTGTAGACTGCATGAGAGCAGTGAGTCGAACGTGAACTGTAGCTGTCACAACCGCAGCTCTGCCTCAAACCAACTACGATGATGCAGTGGCATTGTCAGGCATGCTCTGCCAGGTCTGATCGGGGGCCATCCTTTGACATTATCGCGCATCCGGCTGCACTTAGCGCCAAAACCCAGGAGTAAGCAGAATATGCCGAATGGCGGTCTAGGCCATTAGGACCGAGCAAAACTAAGGATAACCATGTCCAACGCAATTGCAGGTGTTTGTGCTCGGCAACGATGTATGGTGTACAAGCTCTTCATGTCCAAAGACCGAGCAGCTCCATAGTGGTACTCCAGAGGACAAGATTTCAAGTCAAGAAGATGATAAGTCGATTCGTAGATCAAACATGGTATTTACTTATGTATCAAGCCTTTTGAAGATTGTGCCGGATACCTGACTCGAGATGTTGAACAGGGATACCCCGCGCAGATCTAACATTCGCCCAATTTTTTGGAAATCGGTGAGCAAATAATTGCTTTTTCCCGACACAAACACAAACAATATGCCTCGGAGCTCACGTATTGTGTGGAGTAACGCGCAGGACTTCGTCTTTAGCTCGGTTGACCGGATAGTTCACGGGCTTTGAGGTGACCTCAACAAGTTCCCCCGCCGACCCGCGTGTCGCGGAGCTGTCGGCCAGCGATCGGCGGCCAGTGCGCCCATCCGGGACCAGGAATCTCAAATATCCACGATTATGGACTAACTCAGTGCACCTTGCCGGTCATCTCCGGGGTAGAGCGTGACAAATCTTTGTCCGGAAAGAGTAGGATGGAAAGAGGGACCACCACTGCACCTTATCCGGTCAACATGGTTTATGGACGAGATCCGACACGTCTATTGGAACAACCGCCCACACCATTTCAGGATGGCGGCATGTCAAGTGCGCGATCAGCATCCTGATTGATATGGGGCAGCAGGAGGATGATTGGTGAGAGTGCAGGGCAGTGCAGTGAGGGAGCGAATGGTTCCCGACATAACTCCGCAATTACCGCACAAACAGCCGCGAAACCTGTTGAGAGATGAGCCAGCTGGAAATGGAGTCCGAGAAGTAAGCAAGGGGCCAAGACCAGAAGTTTCTCTGAGGCGCAACAAAGAAGGAAACCGTGCATCGCATCGAGGGACGAGGAGTGGGGAATTGGCGCAGTGACGAGCAGGAGAAGAACGAAGCAGAGTTCGTCCCGTGACGCAAAGGCGCCCCCCTCTTCAGGCCATGACAAATTGTTCAGACGGTCGCGGCCAGCGCCAATTCCAGCCATCCAGCCATGTCGTCAACGAGAACGGCTTCTTCCTCTCTATCGCCCATCCGGATCCTTGGGTGACAATCATCTCAACACATTGTGGATGGGGCAAGATGGGAGCTATAAATACGCCGCCTCGTCTTCCACTTTTCTCGAGGGTCCTCATCTCGTGAGCACCTTGGTCGCCTTCAGTCTCCCCTTCTCCAATCAGCATCCTCCAACACCCTCCAGATCCCCATCCAATTATTGTCAGAATGCCTTTGTCCGGCCACTGCCTGTGCAAGGTTGTCACTTACACCGTGGACATTGATGCACCCCTCCTCGTGGGGTACGATCATTGTGACGACTGCCAGCGTCAGAGCGGGTCAACCTACTGTAGGTGCTCTCCTTGGCTTACCCCCACGGTTCGAACTAAGCATGGCCGTACCATGGTTACTAACCTTCCCAACAGCTCTAGTTGCTGTTGTCCCCAAGGACAAACTGACTGTCAATGGACCTCTCAAGAAGTGGTCTGGAACGGGATCCTCCGGCAATGCGGTGCACCGTCTATTCTGTTCGGAATGTGGCTCTCCCATCGCACACGATCCCGACGCGGCCCCAGAAATTATCGCCCTGAAAGCTGGTACTTTGGACACGGAGATCAAGAAAACCCTCAAGCCAGTATGTGCTGCGATCCCGTGGAATAGCCCCCATGCTGATCTGAATTCGTTCTAGGACACCGAGATCTGGACCGTTGGCAAGCTTCCTTTCTGCCAGGAGCACCTAGCTAAGCCTTTCAAGCATATGCCTGAGTGAGCAAACACCGAATGGAGGGTTCACAAGGCATGCTATGATATGACGAATATTATGCAATGTAGTTAATGATGTATTCACCTGAATCAACTATCGTTTCTTGGAATATTACTCATTTTGACCAATATTTTTTGATCGCTGAGGCATGTAGAGGGTCAGATATGGCTACCGATGTCAAGAGGCAGTGTTCAGCGGCGATTGAAAAAGACGTGCCACGGCGGATTGAACATGGTACACCATAGCTAATTGCCATACACGCGAGAAAATTACTCCGCAAGAAGCCGAGTAAGCAGCACGAAATCTTGGGATTTTGCTGACGGTCGATACTTGGGAAGCAACATTGTCAAGCAACACAATCGAAAGTCTTGGAAACCCGAAACACTCTGCTACTGTGGACATCCGCTAACCACCGGGACATTATGCCGCAGTCTTAGGCGATCTTAAATTGAATGATGGTATCGCCTACATTGCGGTGCATCTATACAACAGAGCCCAACTAGCTAACCCGCTACGGAACATCGTCAATCCACTGTCCTCCGAGATACTTATGTCAAAGACACGCGCACCGATGCGCAATACGAGATCCCAATTCAAAGAAAGGCGGTCTCAGCCGTGGACTTCACGAAGATCAGAGCCACAGGAACGGGAACCGACCGCGCAGATCAGGTCGCGGGTGGCCTCAGGGTACATGACCTGGGTTGAGAAACACTACTGTTGTGGAGACGGCCATAAGTTTCTCGTGCGAGGTCCACTGCAGTGGCGGAACAATCTGACTATTCTAGGGATCTTGAAAGGAGCTTGCTTCTTTTCGGCGGCCACAGTTTGGAGCAACTCAGTGAAATCGACCTCGAGGACGTACTGCATCTCCTTGTTTCTGGGTCTTATCCGACGGTGCCGCACATGGATGGTTTGAGCCACGAATTGACAGAAGCCATGCTAGCCGTGCCAGATGATGTGCAGAGAACGGTTTGGACCCATCCGTAAGTAAATGTGATCTGCGCCTGCCATTGCTAATGGATTGGCTGTCTAGAAGCACCTCGTCGCCGCTGCCGCTCATGGTTGCTGGCCTTTCTGCTTGTCTAGCCAGCCATCCTGACATGATTCCAGCATCGCATGATGCTAATATGTATTGAAAAAGTCCTGAAGATACCGACCGTGTAATGATCCGAACTGTGGCAGCCTATGCTGTGGTATCTGGCCTCGCGAATAGTCACCGAAAGTGTCTACGATTTACGCCGCCGACGAGGGGGAGATCATACTATGAAAAGTCTTTTGTGATGGCTGGACTTGTGGACCCAAGGACAGGTCGGCCAGATCGTGTCAAGCTGTCCTGCTTCCGGCAGTTTGTTATTCTCAACTCGGATCACGGAGTGGCATTTACAGTCTTCTCTGCCCTGGCCACAGCATCATCCTTGACGGATCCTATCTCCTCTTTGATCACCTCCATAGGCTTGTCGTGGGGACGGCTGCATTTCCGTGCCACGAATTCTGCCAAGAGAACTTTGAAAGATCTTGGATACCCAGAAATATACCAGGATATATCCAGAGAGTGAAGCAGGGACATGTGAAGGTGTTTGGGCATGGCTATCGCTCGTACAAAGGCATTAATCCGTGAGTGCCGCAAATCCAATCCATACTGGAGGATCTGGATTTGTCTGCCGACAATCCCATCAAACCAGCCGAGCGATTGGAGAGAGTTTGTCCAACTGATGCCTACTTCAAAGAGCGGGGGCTGTACGTGAACGGTGACTTTTACGGAAATTTTGTCTTTACAGCCATGTACGGCGCCCGAAGAATGACATTGCTCGATTGGACCAGATACTGACACGAGTAGTGGCTTCTACCCGAAGATCATCCCAGTGGCTATGTTGGCCCAGCGGATCATGGGAATTATGACGCATTGGCGGGAGTACATGTGTAAGCAGTGATGTGACGGTAGGATATCGGGACTTTCTAACAGCCTACAGTGATGCGCGGCAAGTTGTCGCGGCCATCCCACATCTACACGGGGGAGGCAGAGGGAGGAGTTCCGCCGGGGATGTAAGTATGGTTGGATGCTACATTAGGTGATGAGCAACTTATGACTTTCACGAGCACGCAATATTGATTTCGAAGTAGTGTATTCTTGGCTGGAATTGTATGGCTTCGGTAATAGAGTCGAGCATGATGTCAAACAGTCAGCAAGGTCAAGCAACTCTCATGGCAGCTAGCCAGCCTGCCACCGGCGCTACTGCCCTGCCGGCTGACCAGCCAGCAAAGAAGCCATACTGTGTCTTCACGATTGGCCAGAAACAGCTCATCATTTTAACTGCCGCGCCTGCCTCTTCATTACCAGTCGCACTGATCGAGCCAGCTATGTCAAGGTCTCGCTTCGACCTCTACGGGCTCCTTCGCCGACCAAACCGGCCGCTGACCTGCCTATATTCTTTGTTTTGCCATCCAGATCGCAGGTAACATTGCTCTGGCCATGCAGCACGGCTGCCCAGCACTGCTGATTCTCCGCGCCATTCAGAGCTGTGGTAGCAGCGGCACCGTCGCGCTCGCTTCTGCTGTGGCTGCAGACGTTATATTTCCGCCGAGCGCGGGCCTTATATGAACATCACATCTCTGGGGATCATGCTCGCTCCATCTATTGGACCCTTCTTGGGGGACTTCTAAGCCAGTAACTCGGCTGAAAGGCAATTCTGGTTTCTTGCAATCACATCTGGGGTAGCTTTTGCCCCTCACTTCCTCCTCTTCCGGAAACCTGTCGCAATATCGTAGGTGATGGCTCCCTTCCCCCACAGGCCTGAATTCAATCTGGCCTGGCATGGTATTGACATGGCATATGCCAGCACCTGCGACTACATGTACAGAGGGCCAGAAATCTCCCAGTTTCACCGTTTTCCACGCTGCGTCTTTTCTTGCACCACCCCACCGGGCCTGTCTTGCCGTACAACGGCCTTCTCTTCGCAAGCCAGTACGCTGTCACCGCTGGGATTCCATCTCAAATTAAAGAGACATACCATTTGAACGATTTCGCCATTGGGCTGGTCTTCGTACCTGCTGGCGTATGATACCTTCTTAGCACAACTATCAGCAAACTCCTGCTTGACTGGAATTACCAGCGTCTACAGGGGCAGTTTGAGTCCCCGATTCGTCAAGCATACCAACACGGGCCCTTTCTAATCGAGCGGGCCCTAACCAAATTTGTCTTTCTCTGACGGTATTACCTCTCGTTCCTTAACATCCCCAAGACGATGCTGTTGACTGACATTATAGCTTCTCGCAGCCTTGTCCATACTGAGCTATGCCATGCTCATGAGCCTAGCCATGCCGAGTTTCTCCCACGCTCTTGTCCCCATTTTCGCCATAAGCTTCTCCATTACAGTTGCCTACAATATAATGAGAATCCTGACTTTAGATTTGTACTACGCTACGCCCGCCACGGCCACGGCAGCGAATAACCTGGTGCATTGCTTTCTGGGAGCAGCGGCGACTGGACTAGTGTATCCAGTCACAGTACACTGGAGAACTGGATAGATATACGGGATGCTGGGAGGAATGGTAGGGGAAGTAGTGTGTCCGCTGTTGGGGTGGGTGTATGTGAAGAGGATGGCATGGAGATGTGCAGATGACAAATATGGACCGCTAGCAGAATCGTGATAGTGAGACTGAATTGCAATATTTACCGGTCAACAATATTCACCGTCCTGTTACACTAAAGCTCACGATGATAGAAATCATAAAGACCATCATTCAAAAGTCCACATACATTCCCTCCCGCGTATTTCTCCTCTGCATCGATCCCCTTCCACACTATTCCCAGACACTCCATCTCCAGTATCCCAACACCCCGTGGATCCGCCCCGGCGACACTCTCCAAATACTAGTTATACAGTCTCCCTATCACCTCCTTTCTTCTGACACATTTAACTAATATAGCGGATGATAGACACGAAACCCCTCCCAATCCTCAGCACCCTCCACCTCCCCCAACCCAAACCTACACCATCCTCTTTCTCGACCTCGACGTTCTCTTCACCTCCTTCAGCAACAACAGCAGCACAATTATCCCCAACCTATGCAACCCACGCAGAAAACGAGCAACCTACATCGCCCCCCAAACCCCCGCCAAACTGCCACCACCGATACCTTTACCTTCTGCACACCCAACCACCCGCTTACATCTCCCCCGAATGTTTCGAGCACGTATTCCCACCCACAGCAGAGACACGAGCAGGATTCGACATGAACCTCTTTGCCGATGCAGCGGGGTTGGGGGCGCCCGTAGCAGGGAATCGGTTTTATGTTAGGAATAAGGTTTCTTTGCCTACTGGGAGTGGGAGCGAGAGAGGGGTGAGTACGTCTACGAGTATGAGTATGGCTCTGACGACTTCGGTGAGGTGGATTAAATGTGATATTAGCAGCAGGAGCAGCAGGAGCAGCAGCAGTAGCAGTATTCCTGCAACTGCTACTACACCTACACATACAGCCATCGACTCCCCCACAGACATCACACCAGCGACGAGCAATGACCAAGAAGAAAAGCCAGGTCCAGGCCCAAGCCCAGCTAGCACTAAGTATAGCCTAAATCCAACTGACCCAACAAGGTGGTATGGGTAAACCTTCTTTCTTTCTTGTGAATGAATCAAAACGCACGAACCATCTACCATATCTGTAAACCATTCACGTAACACAAGGGGATAGACCTGCCTCATTAGGCCATGTCCAATTATCAGCAGCGGCCAAAGCTGAACAGGACTTATGACAAGCATATACTACACCGCTGCACACTCTAGTTCAATTCAGTCCAGACAAAGCCAGCCGTCGGGGAAGCATGTCTCTCCAATCACCATCACGCAGAAGATACTAAGGACGTAGGACAAGGAACTCAGATTCTGGATTTCTGGGCAGACAGTAAATTGCTTCAGGCTCAGCCTTAGCGGTAGAAATAGGAGGTAGATGTGGGTAGTAGACTAGGTGTGGTAGTAGTAGGTTGCGTGGAACGTGAAGATTCCTCTCCATGTAACCTTACCGACTATCACCCGTCCGTTCGAACGGGTTGCTTACTGTGTGGGAACTTGTTGCTGTGTGGTAGGGCGTGTGCATGGCGTGGCGTGGCGTGGCATGGCGTGGCGGTCTATACTGTCTATGGAGTTTATACTGTGCTGGGTTGGGTTTGCTGTGATTCGTAGTACTGGGTGCTGTATACTATTTATATAGTACAAATAGTAGTGTACCCCCGGAGGGAATTGGAATGTGTTTATTCGTCTGCCTTAGTGCTGTAATCTACTGGGTTTCAGTCTATTCAGGCAAGCTACCTACGTCTATTCAAGATGAATGACCATCCCCACCCCCTTCCCAAAAGCGTCAAAGTCCGCTCCACCTGCAATGCCTGCCAACAAGCCAAGATCCGCTGCAGTCATGAGAAGCCAGCCTGTCGACGGTGTCAGAAGCACAACATCGACTGTGTCTACAGTATATCGCGACGCTTAGGGCGACCAGCGAAGAAGAAAGATGCCGACGATGAGAGCGATTATCGTCGAGATCGTGAATTTCTAGACGGGCCTAGTAAGCAAGACTCGCGAGCGCGGAATTGTTCCAGGAACAGTCACGGCAATAACAACAGCAGCAGCAACAGCAGAAAGAGAAGGATGAAGCTGGAGGATGAGCAAGAGACAGTGTTGGATGATACTCTCCTGCTCTTGGACAAGGCAGGTGGGAGTCAGAGTCTCTTGGATCCTGTTGGTGCGATAGATCCGGTATCTAGTTTACCGGGAGATTGCTTCTTGGATGGGGCTACTCCCACGGCTCTATGTAAGTGTCGCTCTTGTGCCTGTTACTATATAGCCGTGTGATGTTGATTGAAACAGTCGCGGATAGTGGCTTCGACTTATTCTCCGATAGCTGGGTGCAAGAGTTCATTGCCAACCCGCCGGTCGATCTCGCGCCGGAAGGTTTACTCCTGGATTCAATTGTGAGCAGTGTCAAGCCTGAAAGTACTGGCGGTCGTACTCCAGTAGACCCGAAGCATATTTCGAGAGGCTTTATTCAGGATACACCACTCATCACACCCACGACCTTGGATAATAAGATTGGCATCATGGATGCTCCGTCGGAGGCAAAATATTTGATAGAGGATCCGCTGGCTTGGTCGTTGCCGTTCTCGGCCATGGATAATTTCCCGACCAGACAGACAGCCACTGAGACAAATGCATTTGCTCAAGCTAAGATGACAAAGAGGCCATACCTGTATGGCCTCCCTGCGGGTGAGATGATGCCCGTATCAGCCGTGCTAGCACCACACGCATATCAATTTCAGTGTCATGAGTACACGATCCAGGAATCGTTCAGGCAGATGTCGATCGCGATACGAATGGGACCGTATATGTCGATTGACCATATTCTTCATTGTCAGCGTATGCTGCTGAATGTATCCGACACAATTCTCAAATGTTGCGTCTGCTGCATCACGAAAAAGGATATACTCATGGTCGTCGTTGTTAATATCGACAGTCTAATGACTAATTTAGAGGCCATAACGACCGGGGAGGCCGGGCATACGCAGAGACTCCTGTACAACGGGTACCATGAGCATATGCTGCCGGACTGCAAGCAAGATGTTCCAGGAAATATGGCAAGACGGTATCGGAGTGGTGGACTGCATTTCAGGAGTCAAATTGATGCGTGTCCATTGGTTGTCGGCAAGTTCTGCGTCCAGTCTGGTGACAAATTCTTTTGTATCCTGCAGATCTTGTACAGCCAGTTATCAGATCTGTTGTCGACGGTCAAAAGAATAAATCTCTATACGCAGGAGTCATCGGCTCGCATATCATTGACTAGAGAGACTGAGAGGAGATTAGAGGAGGTCATGCTGCAGATGAAGAGGATGACCAGGGTGTAGGCGATAGGAATGCCGTTAATAGTTCAGCAACTCTGTAGTGATTAGTTTGATTCAAATACTCATGTTCTTCAAAAACCATTCTGACCTATAGCCCCCTTCTGATGTCTCGTCTCTCCTAAAATCAGAATACAATCAGTACTGGCTTCAATTTATTGCTAAAGCGAAGATCTGCTTCTCGCGTTCATTCAAACCACATTGCTATACGTCGACCAGCCTGCCGGTCACAACGATATCTGTGCAACCCACGGCGGGTCGAATGACAACATGTTCCACGACGAACAGGCTGTCCAGATATTCTGGACCAACAAAGCCAAATCCTTCAAGGTTAATCGGAAATGTGAGGCTGCCATGAATCACACCCACCGAGGTTGTACTTGAATGGAACGACACGTGAAGGCAAGTATGAAGCTAGATTGAGTCATATCCCAAGCCCTCCATCACACAGCATTTGAAGCGAGGATAAGACTCACCATCGACAAGAAAGCCACGCCAGCAAGGCCAACGGAGTACCAAATGCCCCAGCACGGAAGCATAATGGAACCGTCCACTACCAACTGCCCCTGCTCTATCAACGGGATTCAGATAATTACTGAGCTCCGTACTGTCCAACCCGTTGTTGAACTCGGCACAGTCCTTGACATTGTCCAAAGGGTATACACACACGGCAAGGATGTACTCCAATGCCAAGATTGTCGGAAAAGCCCACACTCATCATATGTGATGCTACCAGCATTAGCAGAGCAATGTCTCTCCCTGTTTGAAGCAGTATGCATAGCATATAACATTACGAGGGGGAACATGCTGTTCGACCCGGCAATGTTGGCGTTCGAGGAGCCGTTGTCGCAGTTCATCTGTATGAGGAGTAAGACAGTGTTGGGACAGATAGAGCTGGACGAAAAGGAATCGGTGATGATGGTAAAAACGCTACTGGGGAGGAACTTAATGAAAATCTTGGAAGTGTTGGAAACATTGCAAAAAATATTCGTGTCGTTGGGGAAAGAGGCGGTTGGAGGGGGACGATGTTCGGGCCCCGCAACGCTACGGGCGTGTGAGTCGTCGGTTGAGGCCACCATGCAGAGGTTCGCGTTGTTTATGAAGCAGGTTGAGGATAGCTCTGGTGGGTCGCTTATACGTTCTAGGCTCGCGGTAGTGGCTAATACTGATTCGTCCAGGGGCGTGAAGGACGACGACGAGGGTCGATGGGCGAGGACAAGGCGTACCCTATATACTATGTGAGACCAGGCAAGTTGATAAATTAGATTGGGTTTCGACGCGTTAGCTCAATCCGATCATTGAACTGGTACTAAGACCAGCATCATATGAAGTAAGACAAAACAACATACGAGTGATCAGTCACGAGAAACATAAAGTCGAGAACATAACTAGAGAAGGAGGAAAAAACAACACACGACGACGAGTCGCGACACAAAATCAAGTCAATAACAGAATCGGAAAGGGAAAAACACACGAGGACCAGTCACAAGACCAGTTCAGAGAAGACCACTCCAAGGAAGACCAGTCCGAGGAAGGCCAATGCATCCGCCACATCCTATCCAGATCTCATCCCAACGAGCTGTCCGTAATCAATCCTAGGCGTGAACCAAAGGCGTGTCGAAAGTAAGAACTCGCATTAAGAGACAAACCGAAGAGACATGGCAAAGGGGCAGCTTTGCGAGTTAGCGAGGCGTGTGGCGCTGAAAGGTGCCCAACCATTCGCCCCAGCCGATCACTTTTCCAACCATGGCTTCCTTGATAACTGAGATGGTCGCTTTGTCAGGCTGAGCAATGTCGAGGGGCTCGCTCAGCGCCACGATGGTGAAGATGTAGCGATGGTATCCGTGGCCGTAAGGAGGCGAGGCACCAATGTAGGAAGAGCCCAGCAGGTTAGGCACGTATCTCCAACCAGCAAAGGTGACGCGGCCAGGCATATTAGGATTCTTGTCAACGTCGTCATCATATGCGACAAAGCAAGTAGGTGGAATCTCGAAGAACAGGCCGTGGACAAAAACCATAGACGGGATAGGGACGTCGGGATCCTCACAAATCAGCACAAACTCTTTGGCTTCACCGGAACGAGGCATCGTCCAGCGAAGGTGAGGAAATCTTCCTCCTTTTTCGAGGTCGAGATAAGTGTGATGTTCGAGGAGGCTACATCCGGGTAACCCGCACTCCGGAGCCTCGAGCTTCATGTTGGGCTCAGATAAGTGAGCAAAAGCAGCGGACTTGGTGATAAGGTTCTTGTCATGGCCGCGGATGTAGTACAGAATTTTGAACAGCAAAAGCTGCAAATAGAGGAGGAAAACTGAGAACATGGCGCCAGCAACCCTCGACGGGTGGTAAGCACTTGTGAAAGGTTTTGTACGATCAAAGAGAGTGTTCGAAACAAGGAATATTTAGAAAGACAGTACGTGTCTGGAGGGTGGTGATAGAGGAAGAAGAAGGAGAGGAGTAGAAGATGAGGAAGAAACAATCGACGTGTTGTTGACAGGGAAGGGCTCAACGCAGTTGAGGAAAAGCACCTGAACCGGCCCGTGGCCGGCTGCACTAGACTAAGCGACATTTCCATAGAAATAGCAACAGTCTAGTGTTACCTTTTGCCAATTTAATAGCCGTCTGCCAGTCATACTCTCAAGCCCAGGAAATAATGGCCCGCGCCTTAAAGGGGCTAAAGCCGTGAGAGGATGATTCACTGGATGAACAAGAGAGCCCGGAAGAAGGCAACGATGTTGTAGAAACATGTAGCATGGCAGCAGATTTCACGATCAGGCATGGGCACAAGCACAAGGATATACCCACCTGACATGGAATCTAGTGAGGGCACATGAAAAGATGTGAAGCCGGCAAGCCAAGCCGATATCAATCGATCGGATCAGTTGCTCTGATAAGAACAGTCCAAGTGGATCCCATGACGTAGCGTGCATTAGTGTGAGTTGTGCACATTCTCTGGCTGAGTCAGCAGCACAACACTGGCTGGTCTCATCTCCGCAGGTCTCCGAGACCTCCGAATGTGACTTCGATCGTGTTTTCTCCCTTGATGGACCTGCTGTGAAGTTCCTCTGGTCCCCTGCTCTTCATTCCCGCTTCCTCTGATGGCTTTTGCATCTCCGCCGGCCTCTCCTCCGGATGAGGATGGCCAGGCCCGCGCGCCGCGCTATCCCGGCGAGGATACAACACCCACCAGCCGCCAGGAAATCTGGGGATGGTACGCCTATGGTATCGCTGCTGAAGTGTTTGCGGTATGCGGCGTAGGTGTGTGATGCCTTCCTTGAATCCAATCCGGTATCTGCGATGCTAAAGATCTTGTATAGGCTCATTCCTTCCCCTCACACTGGAGCAATTGGCCCGTGAGCGCGGGTTCCTCCAAAGCAGCCATCTGCCGTGCGTCGGTCCCGACTCGCCCTCCGCGCCCAAGGAATCTTCACCAGCCATGTTCCGCCGCGATGACACCAATGAGCAGTGTGTGGTTGGACTGATGGGATTAGAGATCAACACGGCCAGTTTCGCCATGTATACCTTCTCTCTGGCGGTTCTGGTGCAGGCGTTGACTCTAATCTCGTTCAGCGCATTGGCAGACTATGGTATGACCTGTTGCCCTATTGTTTCATAAAGCAATACTGAGAATGCAATATAGAGAACAACCGCAAGACCCTTCTCGTCACATTTGGATTTATTGGATCAGCAACAAGCATGCTGTTTGTTTTCATCGCGCCCCCAGTATTCGTGCTGGGCGCGCTCTTGGTTGTCGTTGGAGTCGTCTGTCTCGGGTCATCCTTTGTCGTACTGAACTCGTTCCTACCAGTGCTCGTCGCAAGTGACCCATCCATTCAGAACAGCAACAAGGAATCTGCCGCCGAACTGCATCGGCTGGATCCAGAAGCTGAATACGTGCATGCCCGCACATCCTTTGACAGGGACGAACCAACCCATCGCCCTCCGACCGGGCTCGGCTTAGGCGGCGCAACAGGCACTTCCTCCCCAGAATTGCAGCTGTCCACCAAGATTTCCTCCAAGGGCGTTGGTCTGGGCTACTGCGCAGCAGTATTTGTCCAAATCCTTAGCATCTTGCTCCTCTTCACTCTGTCCAAAACTTCGATCTCCAAAGCCTCTGGCACGCTCCCTTTGCGCTTCGTGCTCCTGCTAGTCGGCATTTGGTGGTTCAGCTTCACCATGGTGAGCCGGCGCTGGCTGCGCAACCGTCCCGGTCCACCCCTCGAGTCTACTTCAACCGGCGCGAGTAGCCACCAACCGCGCTGGCGCATCTGGCTTCACCTCGTCGCCTTCGCGTGGAAGTCACTGTGGAAAACGGTCAAAATAGCCCTCAAACTTCGCGAAGTGATCGTTTTCCTCGTGGCGTGGTTCCTCCTGTCAGACGCAATGGCCACCGTCTCGGGAACAGCGATCCTGTTCGCCCGCACCGAACTCAAAATGAGCACAACCATGGTTGCCCTCCTTTCCATTACTGCGACATTGTCCGGCATGGCAGGAGCGTTCCTGTGGCCTATTGTTTCCCGGTACTTCGGCCTCAAGTCCAACCACACCATCATGGTCTGCATTGCGTTGTTCGAGCTCATTCCCCTTTACGGTATGCTTGCATACATTCCCCTATTTAAGAATTGGGGCGTGATCGGACTGCAGCAGCCATGGGAAATTTACCCGCTTGCCATCGTGCATGGCGTTGTTTCCGGCGGGTTGTCCTCGTATTGTCGGAGTTTCTTTGGGTTGTTGATTCCTCCTGGTATGGAAGCTGCGTTCTATGCACTTTACGCTGCGACAGACAAGGGGAGCTCGTTTATCGGACCTGCAATTGTCGGGGTGCTTATTGATGCGACAGGACAGGTGAGGAGTGGGTTCTTCTTCATTGCGGTGTTGATTGTGTTGCCTATTCCTCTGGTGTGGATGGTGGATGCGGAGAAGGGAAGGAAAGAGGGACTCAAGATTTCAGAGGATATGGTGAGGGGTGGAGAGGGAGAGGATGAGGAGGTGGAGGGATTGCTTGCTCGGTAGATAACAATAGATGGTAAAGATATGCAGTCTTGGATATGATTTATGGACTGAATGAGGAATGAGAAGAATTTCGAAAGTCACACATGTTATCGATGGGAATCACGCTTTCATGAGCACGTGATCAGTTTTATCTCTATATTCACTATTACTCAGATGTGCCCATGTGCAATTCACGAACATAGTGACGGTTAATGTCACTCATCATCGTCTACAACGACCACCATCCAAACTCCCACCTCCCCATTACTTGCCAGCAGCGGCGTGCAATGAACCCATCTATCCCTCCCCTGTGCATTATATCTCGTCAACCATTTGATTCTCGCCGTGACGCTCCGTCCGCTCATTAATGCATGCAGCAATTCATCCCTGACTGCTGCACTGCTCCCAATTCTAGAGAGGAAAGAGGACTGTAGTATTCCAGGAATTTGAAGCGACGGCGAAGTAAACAATATCCTTAGGGATGGATAAGGTCGGACGAGAAGATACTGTAAGAGTTAGCCCTCTGCCCCATATTAGGTGAGGGATACTTACATTCTCGTAAGCGCCCACCAACGCTGTACCTGTCATGATGCTTGTCTCTCTTTTCGCCTTCGGCTCAACAGAATCCTCGCCATCGGCAACAGACCACTTTGTCCGGGAGCTATTGCGCAATGCCGGAGAAGTCACTGGCTGGAAGAGACTTCCTCCAATATCTTGGGTGACCTTCAACTCGCGTGGACTGAATAGCTCACTCAAATCACGAAACTCGTCTTTCTGGATCCCAAGGGGTGCATCTGTCACTTCAACACCATCTCTCATCTGTTGCTGTTGCAAATCTCGCAGCGATTCCATCTGGACGCCGTCCATAACCAATCCACTAACATCGATCTGAGCACCAATAAAGTACCTCACTCTGCCATGGCTGTCGCATAGTGGAGCACATTGGAGGAGATTCATAAATGGTGAGCCATCCCGACGGCTACATCGTTCGACTGTCAGCGAATGATCGCAGTATGGGTGCAGACCAACTCACTAATTCAGAAACAACTCTGAATGATGCCTCCCCGCTTCTATCGCCTCCCTAATTCTCCTCACACTATTCGCATTTGTCTTTGGTCCCTGCAAAAACCGGCAATTCCGACCAAGCACGTAGTCCATTCCATACTGTGTCGTGCGATGGAATTCTGCGCCCCGCCACAACCAACAAATATCAGCAAAAGAGCACACACTCAGCAAGAAGAGGAATCTACTCACCCTCCGAAGCAAAAACTATCGGATTGTCCCGCCTCGATGGATCCGTAAGACAGAATACCTCCGCCAACCCCTTCTCCTCGTCTGTTCTTTGAAATCTTTTCGGTAAGGTCCCCCTGACCCTTTCCTCCACTACCCGGCTGGTAATGCCGATGCAGCGCGAGGTAATAAATGCAGGGAGTTCCTCGTCAGTGAGTACCTTGAGAGCCTCCTGTACTCGTTGTTGCAGTGCCGGATGGGCGATTTCTCCGATCTTCTGTCCTAACAACCCCGACGTTGATGATTTCGGCTGAGCATCATCGACGACGCATCGCACCAAGCCGTTCGCGTAGTCGATTGCCTTGAGAGCCTTGCGCCCCGTCAAATAATAAGTCAACCGATGGAGAGAGCGGGGACGCTCCTCAAGCAGAAATTCGCGAAATTGCGCAAGATAGCGCGGGTTGTTCAGAACGGTAAGCATATGCTCCGATGAGAATACGAGATCAGCGAGACGCTCAAGGTCATGAAGCGGCGGAGCTTCGTCCGTATCGTGCGATGGTGCAATCAGATCATAGGATAAGCCAGGGTCATAGACAGGATTGAACTCTTCAGATTCGTCATAGTACGGGTTAGGCTGTTGAAGAAGAGGCAGCTCGTGAATCATAAAATTCCTACGAAGCGTCTTGACAGACGGCCTCGAGATGAGAGTTTTCGTTGCGACATGTGCACGGCTAGGAGGGCGGGGGAATCCGAGGAGGATCTCGCTGGGCCGTCGCCTGTGCCCCTCTCGCGATTCGTCTTCAACGGTGGGAGCGGAAGAGGAAGATGATCGCCATGGCGAAATCGCGTTTGAGGGAGGGAAGTTATCCAATGCGACAGTGGATGGGTAGGATCGCAGCGAGTCTGCGTCGAAGTGGTCCATGTCTGGCGCTGTGACTGAGTCTATGACTGTCGCATACCCGATCTCCAGGAGCCATGACAATTACCCCCCATTTATACAGCATACCGGTATATCGCAGACACGACATATCCAAAGATCGCTGCTATTTACGACGGTATCCCCTGAAGACAGGTAGCAAAGGCAACCTCTCATCGCGTTCCGAAGCGATCGAAAAGAACCGCCGCGGCGTAGATGCGAACTCCGATCGATCCGATTGCCGCAGGTGTCAACCACGAGATCGAGAAAATGTTCATGCGTGATGCAATGCCGCATGCGATGTGTCTGCTCCACTACTGATCTACATCCGCAGAAGCAATCTGGGAAAGAACAAAAAAGTTTAATCGAGGGAACTGGTGGGTGCCTGTTCAACATATTGATTGACCCGTCTGCGGGTATTTTCGTTATCCATTCACAGAGCAGGGAATCTATATCCCTTTCCACAGCTAATCCATTTTCTGCAGGCACAGATCCCAATTGCAAATCCTCAGTTAATACCTAACCTTAATATAGGTAACCAACTCACCCTCCTCCAACGCTGCACCGGTGATGGGATCCTCACTGTCGGGCCCCAACAACCGGAACAACCAGTACGGCAACTTGGAACCAGAATCAGAGTACTCCTTAATAGCCCAAGTAGTGACATTGTTGGCGCCAATGAACAGCCCATCCTGCTGCGTGCCGTTTACATAGTGGTGGTAGAAGTCGACCGGGACGGACGCCTCCTCAGGCAATCCCCACATCAAGAGAGCGGTATAGGGGATAGAGCTGATGTTCAAGGGCTGGTAGCTGTATCCGCTCACGCCGGTCTCAACAAGACCGTTAAGGATAGAAGGAGAGGAGTCATCGCAGATGATAGGGTTCTTGGCCTCGTCGTTTTCGGAGCCGATCGCGATCTAATTGACAATTAGTCAATCGTTAATTAGATAGATGATGGTCAAGAAGAAAGGGGAGATGAACATACATATCCCTCGTGGATACCAGTCTCTCCAGCAGTGCGGAAGACAACGCTAGTATCACCAAATCCCTCAATAGGGCAAGCCTGATCCGGAGCCGTCATGTTCTTGCAGTCGCTGGCAACAAGCATGAAATAGCCGGTGGTTCCGGTCTCCGGGTAGTACGAGTTGATGTTGGCGCATCCTCCGGTTGCACGAACGGGCTGCACGGCCGAAGCGTAGGCAGAGCCTGCGAGCATGGAAACTCCAGTCAGAATAGCGGGAATCATGGTGATGATGATGATGCGGATAGTACTTGTGATGTGGAAATCTGATCCTGGAGTACTAATATTCCTCGACGGGTCAGACAGCCATATTTATACCATGCTCATGATACAACATCCATGCGATCCATAGTATTGGCCGAAGTCGCTCTCAGAAATGCGACTCTAGAACATGAATTCCCTGATTCTGTTAGCATGAATCCCTGAGCTAGGTGAGTTCCTGAATAGGCAAAAGACCCATACTGAAGCTCGTGGGGGCCGTTCAGGGACCAGCGCGTATTGGTGGTTCGTTTAATTTGGATGGGGCGAATTCGACGGCTCGATCCGTCAATTTGGCTCCCAAAGGAAACTTCCCCTTTCGCGACGTCCCATGGTTAGGTGCAAGGTTTGAGGCGATTCCCACCATGGAAGTAAGCACTATTTGCTTTGGACCCTGGCCTGGACACCGAGGCATCCGGTGATGCTGCCTGCAGAGGGCGCGGTGATGCCTGCTTCAACGTGCTTAGTGCATAGGTAGTGTTGTGCCCAACTGGGTCTACAGTGAAACATGTCCAGTCGGATTCCCCGTCAACTATGACTGTGAAGATGCTTGGCTCGGCAGTGGAATTGTTCTCGTGTCGTGGGGCGCATGAGGCTGAACATGTCTGCTAAGTGTACAGCCGTGGTCGGAGATTTGCCTGAATGTCCGACCGTAGGCAATCCATATCTGCCTAAGGAACGCAATATAACCTCAGATCGGATGCCTTGAGCCGTATGGGAATCAGGCGTCTATGAACATCTGTTCCTTTAGGCTACAACCCTCGAAGTATTATCGAGGATACTTGGTTGCTAAATTCCTAATCTGTTGTCGAGTCTTTCCCGCCGTATCCCCTACTGAGCCGCTCGATGCCTCATCGCTAAGGCTGCATACTGCATACTGTATACTGTTAAAAAAAATATGTCCGGACGTGCATAAGCAAGCAATTCTTAGATTTATCGCTGTTGTTATCTAACTCATTTTGTCACTCCAAGCGAGCTGCTATTCAAAAACACCTTTTACACGGCACCTACAGCCAAAGTATATCCCGACAAAACTAAAAGTTCCGACCTTTGCGGACAGGAAAACCTTTCATTGCAAAACGGCGTCTTTCATCCTTATACCCACTCACAATTATACATTGACATTCTGACAGATAAAGCATTTATTCCTTTTCGCTCTGGTTTCGTGGGGAATTCAAACACATAACTAATGGCAACTTTGATGCCAATTTCCCTAGAAGGGGCAGTTATAGCGGATATGGTATCATGTAATATATACACACCGTGCATTCGTCTTAATGGTCTAATCTATTTTCTCCCAACATGACAAACTATAGACAATATAGGTGGCCGACCAGCGTGAACAGACAGTAGCATCTGTCTCTCACGGTATATCACAATGCATAATCATATCGTAGGTCCAAATGTCCTAGCACGTGAAAGGTTTACTTATCTCCCCCGACCGAAACTCATTGACCTATGATTATCACGTTAGCATGAGATCTTTCATGTCCGCAAGGAATCCACCTACCAGCTCTGCAATGCTCGAGTAAGTACCACAACCGAAAACAATCACACCGACAATAAAGACCACCAGATTACAAATCGCAGGCTTTAGATTGTGTTTCTCGTACCAAGCCCCATCCCTCAGCAGCACAAACCACATCACCGGAGGAATGTAAAACGACAGACCGGACACAAAAAGCGCCGAGATGATGGAAAGCAGCTCCGAGAAAATCGGAATAGCCTCTGCAATGACCCAAGCGAGAGCAGTAATAAGGGATATAAGAGCCAACCAAGTCATCCAGCCTTTACGGGTGTTGATGAAGCGGGCGGCCGAGTCATGGTAGAACTTGCCGTGAATGTATCGGCAGACGACTGTCACGTTGATGGAGCCAGAGATGAAGATAACTGGCAGGGCTATGCCGAAAACCACTCTTGATATGACTGGTCCGGCTGATAGCAGCGCGGGTGATTGCACCCCCTGGCCCACGAATGCGTAGATAAGCGATCCTGTCAAGGTATATATGACAATTTGAATGCCGCCTAGCCACCAAAGGGTTTTGACGTAGTCCTCCGGGGTATGCATATCTTCCATGAACGAAGGCAGGCAGCCAGCGAAAGAATAAGCAAAGACAATATTATTGGTGGCCACAATCGCCTGCGAGAATGTGATCCCAGCCATGGGCCATGCCGACCACGGGATATGATCGGCGGAGAAGGTACCAGTGGAACTGGAGCTTTGGATGCCTGTAGCAATCATAGTGATGCCGATTGCCAGGATGATTGAAGCAAAATCAATATAACCAAGAATGGCAATCTCGGCAAAGGACGGAGGAATGGCGAGGATCATCAGAATGGCAGCGGAGACAACACTGAAAACCACTGAACACACGCTGCTTTCGGTGATGGTCTGGAATGCAATTGCGCCCGTCAAGCAGTGAGACCCGATAACAAAGACCAGTAGGGCGACAAAACTGCCCACGAATATTTTGCCTCCGATATTTCCCAGCAAAAGCTGACCGACATCCGCGTAGTGCCCAACCTCAGGGTACTTCAACTTCACTTGGCCAATGTTATAGCCCGCGTACATGGCTACCAGTCCGATACCGATCGTGAGGATGACACCGGCAACCATGCCCAGAGTCGCGAAGGCAGAAGGCAAGCCCAAGCTCCCAAGAGCAATGGCCTCCACTATGGAAATAACTGTGAGGCGTTTCCATCCTAGCCGGCGAAATCTGGCATTGCCCTCCAAGATGTACTGAGTCTCGGGATCGGACAGATCCGGACTCTTGGGAAGGCCTTCACTGGCCATGAAGTCGCAGTTCAGCAATTTTTGTCAAGATTGGTATGTAAATTGGGTATGAGACCGGTGGTGCGTACTCAAAATAAAGACGTTCAAAGAAAAAAGAATCGGGGGAATGGGGGGCTTAGGGATAATCAGATGATCAGATAAGATGGAAGGGACTGATTAAATCCGAGGGAATTTCCCGGCCGCGCAACCCCACCCTCTCTGCAAAACCTTTCCAACACTAAGACATCACTAGTCCACTTCGGAGGATTAGTGGCTTACCCCTCACAGGTTGTCCAGCATCAAAACCTTGGTTTCGATCCTGTTTGTGGTGCAATCTACTCGTCAAACCTAAGTCCTCACAGTTCATTTCTTTCCATTGACACGAGCATAGGTAGTTCTTTAAAATGTCCCCGTCCCGGAAGAGGCGAAGATGGAAATAAAATTACCCGACGCCCAGCATGCGTTCATGGCCGGAATACGATGATGATAAGAAGCCAAGGGCGGGTCGTTGATATTAAACAGTTCCTATCTGGCCAATCGAGAATCTATGTAGGATGATAGGGAATCCTGCCAAGTCGTCAACTGGTGTTAACCCACTCTACGACATTACGAGAAACCATTCAATTGACACTTCACAAGAACAGTCGGTAAATGCCAACCAGACTTTTGTTTTGCCCACACAGTAAAGTGTCATTTTCTTTGGGTGAAATCGGGTTGTACTTACCTTTTAGTACAATACTGATCTTGCATCGAGATTGCATGTACAATGTTCTGCCAGCCAAGGTTGGATGAGATTCACATGCATTCGTTGTAAATCTAATTTGATCCTCGTGAGGTCAACATGAACAACAACACAAAAATTCTTTAGCATGAAGCTTTTGGTCTCCTAAAAGTGAAAAAGAAAAAGAAAGTTCACACGTCCATATTACTAGCCCGAAGCTGGTAGGTCATGATATTTGGTAGCCTACAGCATGAATGAAGGCTATGTTACCTGTAACCTGTAGTTCTCCTCCCGCTTTATCCCTTCTTCGTTTCACTACTCTTCCCTCCCACCCCCCGCACGGAAAATGAACGAAATCAAATGAGAAACCCAGGAAATCAAGGGAGATCTGAGCTGGCGTCCATTTCCGCCCGACACAGACCTCGGATATGAGGATCATTATCTCGCGGCGAGATAAAGCCACTTTTCCACATATCCGTCTGATGGGTGAGGATGAGGCCCCCTGCTAACAAGCCGAGTTTTCAATATATCAACGAAGTGCCATAGGAAACGATTCAATGAATGGCGCAAATGCTTCCTCTGTGAGTTGCCGTCTCCAATCGCCCGGACTTTCATTCTCTGCGGATGCCACCGCTAGACGACTAGGGGAATCTTCTGGAACAACCGGACTAGACCAGCGTCGAGTATTTGGTACTATAGCCTCAGATCGTTGATGCCAAGGCTCTTTCCTTTGCTCCTGGGTATTGGAAGATCGCGATGATCGTCGAGCGCCATCATCCTCTCGCTGCCGGTACCGGACAGATAAAGAAGGAGAAGAAGAAGCGAAAGAACGCCGGAGCCTCTCGCGGGACAGCCGCAATGCTGCTAGTCCTTGTGCAATATACTCCTCGTTATGCTCCTGCTCCAGATTGGGTATCGAGTGTGCTCTGGATCCGACCCGCCGTCGAGATAGACGTACGCGTAGTCAGTTTTATTTGTATGCAAGCGATCCTCGCGCCGGATGTCCGCATGGGTTCGATGCGGCCACCGGCTGGGGAGGGTGTGGATCAGGCTGCGGACGTAGAGCGGGAAAACATTGGGAGCAAAGCGGAAGAAGAGCCGGCCACTGTGGTAGGAGTCAGGGGATGCCCACTCCTGGCTGATGGATGTGTCCTGTTGGACCTGATCCCTGAGTTTGTCGCGCGCACAGTGGAAACAGATGTGTTGTGGTGCTTGATGGGGTGGCAATGACGATGGCAAGAGGGATGGCAGTTGTTTGTTCCTGTCTGTGGTCTCATCCATGAAATCGGGCAATGAGCCGGCCGCGTATGTGAAGAAGGCCACGGGGTCTCTGGTGGTTTGCCACGCAGGGTCAAACACGAAAATGGAGAGCTTCATGCCCCGGAGACATTTTAGGCGGCAGAGCTCGAGGAGGCCACCATCCCAAAAAGTGTCTCGTACCGCCTGCACAGGGAAATGAAGATAAATCTGGATAGAGATGGCAGCGAGATTGGAGAAACCGAGACTGATCAACGAAAAGGTCTCATTCCATTCAGCGAGGTGTGTGTCCATCCCTTGCTCCGGTGGAACGCGTATGTTAAGATATTGTATCGATTGAACTTGCCAGCGTCGTAAACAGAAAGAAAAATTGGAGAAACTTCCAACTTCCTGTGTGAAGAATATAGTGCGCATATAGGGTAAATGTCGGGCTTCATAGTAGATCTGCCGGCAGGTGAGAAGGAAAGAAAGATTCATCGAATTTCTCGCAAGATCCTGCGGACAAGGATAGCCTTGAGATGCGATTTGAGGTGCGATACCCGTGTACCGATCAGATTGGAGGATCTTTTGCTGTGTTGTCACACATTCTGGGTGGTCGCAGGTTTCGGATATGATTGATGAATGATGCCGCATGGGGATTCGCTGTATCTTCAAGGAACACTTCGAGACCTTACACTGAACTGTAATTGGCTTTCGCTCAATAGGGCAAACACGATGATCAAATACTGCTTCGTGAATTAGGAGTCGGACCTCTGCAGGTAACGATAACAGATGATATTGTCTTGCAGGTGCTGAGTTACTACTCGTTCCTTTCTCTAAAGAACCCATTGCAATGCAAGTGTGAGGAATTTCTGTCGCACTACAATGGAAAAAGAGAGTGAAAGAAGGCCGAAGACAAATATCTGCGTTGGTGTTCTGTGTCAGCCTTGTCTCAAAGGTGTCTTATCAGCGAGCTAATTTAGCACATTGCATCAAAGCACATGATAGGCGTCTAACCAAGACCCGGAAAGCCGAGCCGAGACACATAAGCTTGCCATTAGGTTGTTCAGACAGAAACAAAGAAAACGTTTAATTAGGAGCACCTTCACGCTTAATCAGAAATCAGAGGGACAGAAACGAAGAGAGTAGTACACTGTTCAATTAAGAACACCATGTCAGTGCGCTTCACCAGAATTTCATCAGAAAATGACATGGAAGCATCTCGCCGACAGCTGTGGAAACACTTGTTTCCCCGTAACGCAGGGTTACTGTGCATTCTTTTCTCATTGTTGCTATTCATCAATGTCTTTGTGATCGAGTTAGAAAATAGATCCAAGAGTTTCCCATAGAGAACTCAACGGCCTCGTCCCTAAATGTGAGTCGATACAGACATTGGCATTGAACAGTAAACCAGTTTCTGACAAGGCGAGGTTCTATGCAAAATTACAACGGAGGTTATATTCTGGTCGCATGTAGAGTTCTAGAGTTTTTGTTTCCGATTATCAGTCTAACCTGGTGAGCGGTGGCTGTCACAATTGCCAAGTATGTTCGCTTCACACAACGCACGCGAGAGCTTCTGTACCGAAGCATTAAATCACCGCGCTTCTTGTAGAAGACTATGGATTTATAGCGATTGAAGCCTCTAAGCTATACAATATCCCAGAGCCTATCGAGATTGGTAGAAAGCCAATGTCTAGTCCGGCGGTCTTCCACCAACTATATTGTCTGGTAGTGTTCAACCTTCCTAGGGCCATTGATGAGCTCAGTATTTTAAGCATCAAGCCTAGTACATGATCATGTATCATAATGAGGTATTACTTTCCAATCAAGCTGATCCACATCACACCCTGGACGGGGATGACCAGTCAAATCTAAGCGGGCAGTGGATGGTGTCTGAGTGATTAGAATAAGTCTCCGCTACAGGCAGCACTAAAAGGGCAAGGAAAAAAAGTAGTGAATCGTATAAGTTCTGTCTTAACTGAAGATATGCTAGTTACTAACCCAGGAATAACCACCACTATTTACATTCCTCCAGCTTTTATCGTGTAGTGCGTATCGCGCAGCCCACGTGCATTCCAAATTGCTTCCAGAGCACGCTACGGAAAGGCCTCGCTAACGGCAAGAAAAGCCAGTCTCTGCGCTAGCATATTCACCTGCATGTTTTCTACTTCGAGGATGCTCTAGCAAATGTCGAAAATTTTTAAGTCATCCCGTCTCTGACCTAGCCCAATATCGCCCAGTCGTCGGCGACTAGAGGACGTTGGGCACAGTGGAATTTTCTTATATCGCTCACTTCTCCAACCGACCAGATCAATGACGATCCCAATCTACAACCCAACCACCCGGAACCCAAACCCTAGTAAGAACACACTAGGCAACAATATCCTCTACCTCCAAAGTGACTGATGCTATAAATGCTCGGCCGACGCACGTGGGGAGCCTAGCCCGAAACACTCGGACATTGTCACTCGGTGTGGCAGAAGAGTAAATCCCATCCATGGTTGAGCGATCAGAACTAGATGTCTAGTTACCCAGGTCAGGGTTGACCGGCGCTCGTAGTAAGTTAAAATGGATTGACAAGGTTCCTCTAGAAGCGTACTACTATCCAGACGACTCGATTGCTCGGGATGCGACGTGTGGTCGCCAGCATCGTTGCGGTTGGTTCGCGCGGGCGGAAGAACCAAGAAAGTCTTGCAAGTCGTAGTGATCAGCGGGACCGTGACTGGATCAGCTGGTCGATCTAATTGTGTCTATGCTAACTCTAACATAGTAGTCAAGGTATAGATTTATTAGGGTTGTATCATCAAATATACTACTACTACTACTATTCGGTGGTATTTTCGTGCCAAGTAGTCGACTGTTTTTCACAGTGGTAGCTATCTCTATATTACTAGTTGATATTAGATGTGTCTGTGTCGGTCGAGAGCACTATGTAAAGACGCCACCATGTTAAGAAGAACAACTTCAACCTGCCACCGTCCAATCAGAGCATTTGCACCAAGATAGAAAGACAATGGGAAAAGTCAAGCACACTCATTAGCAACTTGAACATGGACCGGTGCCCAGATCGGCGCTTCGGCCGCGGAATCGTGCTCAAAGCTAGGCTTTTTACTCACCTGGTACTCCAGCCGATCAGTCCAAAAATGCGAGAAAGCGGCCTGTAACGTGGGGATGGCGCCATACAGTGTGCCGGAAATGGGAAAGATAACTCGGTCTAGCAGACACTGCGGCATGTACCACTTGCGTCGCGAGCAGCCAGTGCCAGGGATTTGAGCGGCATGCATGTCCTGCATGCGCCGGTCAACACAGATCTGATGCCAGCGGTCGTATAGCGAGATAGCCAAGTTCATGCCGACGAACGAGCAAGTACGAAGGGTATTGGTGAAGTTGAATGCGAATGCCAAGGTCGGGTGCATATGACCACTGGGGTTGCATAGTGTGTAGAACATGGAGAACACCAGAAGGATCGTGACATGACAGGGCAGGAAATGGGCCTCCCAGAGGAGGTGGGTGAGAGCTAGCTGGCGTGGCCGCAGGACAAAGCAACGTCGGAAGCGCAGATGGCCCATCGTCCGTCGTACCGCATATCCTGAATCTAGAGCCCCCCACATGTGTCGCAGCGCTTGTCTGTATCGAGCAACGCATGTATCTAGGTAGAACCGCCATCCTCGGCGAGCGTCGCTCGAAACATTACACTGACTGGCGGGGACATAGATGGCCTGTGTTATCAAGTTACCCGAAGTCTCAAAGTAGCACTTCAGCAGCATGTGCATGTCCTCTCCAATCGCCGTTGGATCGCTATCCCATCCCCCAACCTTTTCTGCTAGGGATAGCGGTAACGAGTAAACTGACGTGGGAATAGCAAGCATGGTCCCTGGGTACATGGTGGATAAGCCGGCGAATCCCCAAAGGAGATCGGCACATCGCACCAGGACGGGACTTTCAAGTGAATTTCGATCAAATATGATGGGACAGCAGTATAGGGTACGCTCAGCCTTAAGAAGATCCAAGTCACGAATGCGCTGTATCTCGGTGAAGTAATCCCTGGAAAGATGGGTATCGGCTTTACCCCTGGGTCAGTAACTATGCTGGAAGAGGGAGTGAATGGGAGATTGGCGTACCATCTATGACTGTGATAATAACATCACAAGTTTCCACTCGCAGGGCCTTATGATGGACACTGACAATATGACGTGCCGCATATGCTACGTTGGAACCCTTGCCGGTAATCTCACCGTCAATTCCAGAAGGGTGAAAGGTGGTTTGAATGGTGCGGAACGAGGCGTCGAACGTGGCGGCTAGCTTCATTGCCTTTTCGACTGCGTTTGTCTCTTTCTCCTCCATGGCAAGGTAGATCTAGTACGAGTAAGCATCATTCAACGGCGACCACATTCCAGACTAGGCCGGACCTCATAGTGAAATCTTGCATGTGGATGGCTTGCCAATACGTTTAGAGTAGTCCGAAGTGTGTCCACGTCCTCACGGTAGTTGGGGACAATAATGGCATGAATTATGTCTATACTCCGTGAGTCTGGTAAGATCTGTTCATTGGCTGAGCCCTGCAAGGTGCTGAAATCCAGGAGGGTGTCGCCTGTAGTGTCCAGTTTGCTCGCATTGGACCCGATGCGCCTTTGAAAAACCTGCCGCGTTCGCCTCGTCACCCAGAACAGCGACCATGTAAGTCGGAGTGTGAAGGAAAACATGTTCAGGTGAATTACCACAGTGTATATGGCGAACAAGGCTTGCGCCAAGGTCAGTACACGGTTAGGATCATGAACCGGTTTCCTAGGTGGCGATGGCCTCTGACTTTTCCTGAGGTTCCAGTCCGCATTATCGAAGAAGGCCAGGTGGAGAAGGGCTATCAGTAGCAGAAAGCTAAACCCAGGAAGGCAGCGCGAGCTCCATTGAAGCATCTTGTATGACTGGACTTGGGAGTCTAGGTGTTGAAGAGGTCGTCGAGGTCCAAGGGCAGCCATCGGTGCCATTCTACTCCACTATATACTACAGCTGGAGCCACAAGGAGACCAAGGAGGACAATGCAGCTGCCGCGTGAAAGCCCCCTAGTCCTGATACCGGGTAGTGAAAGTAGAGCATGGAAAGCTGGCGGCCACCAGAAAAGCGAACGGGGCCCTGGTGGTGATCGTCCAGTCACCAATCATTAGCGGGCTGCCGTCCATGTGGTTCCAGACTAGGAGGAACCTCCTCTCAACTTAACAATAGCTTTTTATGAGCCGTCCAACTTTCAATCAGCAGACATATACCCAGTCATGCGTCCATCAACACATTGACTTCATAAGGAACAAGCCTTTGACTAGCTTTGTGGATACGGTGGGGGGCCCTCCAGTCCATCAGCAAAGGCCATTGTCCGAAGCAATTTCCGAATTAGCGTCCGACTCGCCATCCGAACTAGATTCCGAAACAATTTTCTAATAAACGATAAAGCTAGTGTACCAACCGCTATAACATCATGTTTAAGAGAATTTTGTCCCCGACGGAATGTAATAGTCATGGGGGAGTTCTATCCACTGGCAATACGAGCACAGTAATTCTCAGCTCGCCGTCACGATGTATCGGAGAGTGCAGCTTCTGAATGATGATGATGGCGGGCAAGGAAAGACGACTTAGAATGCTTGATTGCCTTTGTAAGAGCCCCATCACCCAGTTTCTTCCATCGACACAGCGCAAGGCTGGCCTTCAAGGCTGTTACGGTATGTCATGACGAAGTACGCTAAGAATCATTAATGACCGGTCGAACCCCACTGCCGATTCCAGGGACCGCAATACGATGGGGAAACCGAGATTTTCATGGATGGTACCGATCAAATCATTATGGGTTTAGCTGAAGCGACAGCTTCAGAGGACACCATAATTGCCTCATCAGCACCAGAGCGCCTTGGGGCTAATTGGAGACTGCAGTTGACTGTCAGGCTGGCCAAGTCACATGGCCTTGCATTAGCGCCCCCATCATTCCAGGACACCGGAGAAGCTGCAATGCATTTGAAGCATTGACCTCGCTATGACTAGTCTGACCTTGATCTGCTCTTCAATACCCAGGCTCTTCTAGTCCCTCGCATGCACTATTGTAGTTCCCGGCCAGCCGCGAAGATGTGGTATGACCAAACTTGGTGCTAAGCAGCGGACAAGGAACATGGGCTGGGCTCAAGGGCAGCAAGCAGGACGGTGCCATACCGCTAATCCGAAACTTGAAAGGCTGGAGACGGATGCCGGAGGGATATCCGCCCGAGCCCGCATGGGAGCCAAAGTCTGTGTGCTCTGTGGAGATCGAAGGTCGATCGAAGGTGGTGATGAACTATCGATGCAATATGTGCCGTAATGACTTCGGTTCATGAATTTACAGAATTGCTCCTCGGGAGTAAAACCAGGCCTTGGCCTGATCAATTCCTAAAAGCGTACTGAGGAGCATCCGTCCAAACACATCCACATCCGACGGTCGCGCGCGTTCAAGCACATGGCCAAAATCTGCATTGCAGACCACAAAATGCTGGTTCTCGTTCCATGCAACGGCAAAGTCAAATGCAGTCTGTGCACTCCACAGATACGCTGATAAATACCATGAGTGGATGAGGCCCAAACGGCCGTCGCAGCTGAGATTGTTCTCACCCGTGACTAAACGGTATATCTGCACCAAATAAAACGTGAAGAGGGCGGTGCGACGCGCAGATTCCTGATATACCCACTCAGTCCAGGACTGCATGACAGCATCCATGGGTGCAGTCAGGGCAGTGTCGGGCTCTGCAGCCGGGAAGTAAACATAGTTCAGAAGGCTGAAGGCCGATGTTTCCAGCATAGGAATTAGAGGTTCGGCGGACAGCCGGGCGTGGATGTCTCCGTCGAACAGGCGCATTATCTGATACAGTATCAAGGACTGTGTATGGGCGAGTGCTTCAAGCGGTGTTTTTGGAGGCGGGGAAGCGAGCAAGTCGTCAATGCGGGTTTTGAAGGAAGAGAGGATGACAGGAGCATTGATCTCATTTCGAGCCATGTACAGGGCGCAGCAGGCGACGGCGTCTGCATTTCTTAGCATAGAGCTTAGGTGAGGTGCTACAAACGTACCTTGCATTGACCTGGGCATGCCATCTTTGTACAATTGGCGATGGCACCAGGGCGTCTGGTTTTCTAGGACCATCATTCTTGGTGCTTGTTTCAGCACATCCATGCCGAATTGTAAGCGCTCCGTGACAATAGCCGAGATAGACAGCGAAGACCTCATTCTAATCAGAGTGGGACTCGGACCTTCCTGTGTCAGCAATAGCCCAGGGGTTTGCAGAGGCGGGCATTGGGCCAAAAGGTTGGTTGCTTCCGTTTCGGGAGTGGGAAGCTCAAGAGCACATAATGAGTCTACCTCTGGGAGGTGCAAGTGGATATCGGTCACACACTGGGCCTCGGCATGGACCGGTAAAAAAGGGCCTTCCAAGGAATGCATTGCAAGCGATGTTGCCTGTATGTCCATGCTTTGTGGTTGTCTACCAGGATACACACAGATCTGGTTGCGGCGGGCACATCGGAAGCAAGCTGGCCAGGCGAGATCACAACGGCGCTTGGCTATCTTGCAGGCCTCGCAGGTCTTTCGCCGCGGTGGAGCGTTAGTCCGCTCTGCTGATGAGTTCATGGGTCCCAATTGATCGAGAAAATGCGAGGCTGCAATAAATTTTTTTGGACATATGTGTGGACAGTGGGAAATCCAACGTAAGATGGCTGTGGAGGAAAACAGTGGGGCGGCGGAGTTCCGCCCGCTAATTTAGCTCAACCAATCACCCTTGGTTTAATAAGTGGAACGCCGCAACGGACTTTGTATACTCTCCCTGCAAAATATCTCAACTCTCATCTATATAAACAGCCAGAATGCCTCCAACATGTTACCATCCTCATCGACATCATTCCAGTCTTACAATTCAGTCCTCCACCCCTCTTTCTGCCTACCACTCCGATTACTCTCAAAACAAACTTCATCACTTATCAATCCACCACCCATCATGCCTGTCTTCGTCTGTGGCGCAACTGGCACCCAAGGCAGTGCCATAGCAAAATACCTCCATGAGAATGGTATCAAGGTGCACACCGTCACCCGTACCCCGCTCTCCACAAAGGCCCAACACCTTCGCATCCTGGGTGCTGATGTGACCGCGGGTGACTACGACAACGAAGCCTCCCTCCGAGCCAGTCTCGCCAATTGCACTGGTCTCTTCCTAAATATGGTCCCCGACTTCCAAAACCCCGATAACGAAGTCATCCGTGGCCGGCGACTCCTCACTCTCGCAAAAGAAGCTGGCGTCAAGCATGTTGTCTACAACAGCGCGTTCGCCGTCAACGAACCCCACAAGATCCGCACCTTCACGCCCACTGGTTTCATCGGGAAGATGCTGCTGCCTAAACAAGCACTGGAGAATGAGCTCCAGACAATGGGCTTTGAGAGATGGACTATTCTGCGTCCTGGAAGCTTCATGACGAACTTCCTGGCGCCAATGGTATATATGTATTCTGGATTGGTAGACAAGGGATGCTGGATTACAGCGTGGACCACTGAGACAAAGATTCCGCTGGTGGATCCGATGGATATTGGGAAATTAGGCGCAATGGCACTGACTGATGAGAAGTTCCATGGCAAGGAGATTGAAATCGCGGGGGAGTTGTTGACTGTTAAGGAGATTGTGGACCAGCTGCGGAAGGCCACGGGCCGTGATCTTAAAGCTGCTTATTTGACGCAGGAGGAGATCGAAGTGCAGGCTGCCGTTAATCCGCTCATTGAGGCGCAGTTGGCAATGCGAGACATGGCACAGTTCGCGAATTTGGAGAAAACGAATGAGTGGAATCTGGATCTGGGAACATTTGAGCGGTTCTTGAAGAGAGAGAAGGAGAAGGTGGTGAGGACGTTTTCTGTTTAGATATTGCTATGGTTTTGTGGGATTTCCATTCATTTTTCGACTTGGTTGCAACGAGATAATAATATTCTTAGCATCATAAAGCTTTCAATGAGCTGGAAAGGCTCTGCTAAGTCAGTTGTAACTCTGTAGTCAACTTCCCGGATTAGCACATGATCAGTGGGAGAGATATGTCCACGAGTTCCTCCTTACTTAAGCCAACATTACGTGTACCAATATAAACATACATAGACCGAAAAATCACAGTAATGTGCTCCCTTTCCAAACAAACAGACTAATATTTCCAAGGCGTTCCTTCTAAAGCTTCCCATGTACAGCCCGGGCCATATTCTTTCCTAAGAATATCATTCTATCCTTCCGTGACTCAACATCCCATTGAGACGGTGGCTGTACACCAGAGTCCGCAAATGACTGAATATATCTTGCTGCCATTATCACGGCTACCTCATTGCCATCAGTGCAAGCATCATATATCAGCAGACAAGAGCAAACGATGGCTTGCAAATGACCAATTATTTCCCTCCCCCGCCAAAGCAGCTCCGCCTTGTCAGCCTGATTCGTGATTTGGACGAGACTCTCCAGTCTTTTCTTGACGAACGCACACTCGTCGGGAAGCATATGTTGGCAGTGTTGGAGTACATTGTGCACCCACTTCCCGAGGACGTTGTCGATGACTTTACCATCACCGAGGCGTCGGTCCTTAATGACTCGTGCCACATCCTCAGCCATCACACTAACCGTACCTTCCCAGATGGGATTGACCAGCGTATCTCGGAAGATCCTCGCTACATTGAGAATCCCACCGTCCTCATTGTTTTCGCAATAGCCAACCCCACCGAGTCCTTCCATGCACTCCCTGAGACCTTGGACAGAGCCCACGCTGGCCAGAGCCTTTAACGCCGGGGTGATGAGTCGAAGCAGAGTTGCAGCTTGCTTCCTATCACGCGGAATAATGGCAGCAGCTTTGGTATTACGAACCATCAGGTCCCATTCCTGCTCAACGGACCCCTGCAGAGCGATGCCGAAGAAGACCCAGTGCATGGCTGCCGCATATTTCACCGTCTCACCCGCCATCCAGCGCACGTGCTGCGGGATATCCTCAAGAAGTGAGCCTTGAACTTTGCGAGCTCGTGTGTATGCCCGGCAAATGGCTAACCCACGGCCCCATCCCGCCGTCGAGCCGGCCGCTGTGTACAGGCGGGTGATATTGAGGATGGTCGCAACCTCTTTTACACCTCGGCCCTCCTCCCCGATCAGCCAGCCGCGCACCCCCTTGAGCTCCAACTCCGCGGTAGGCAGTTGCTTAGTGCCCACTTTGTTCTTCAACCGTTGCAAACGGATACCATTCAACTCAGTGTCACTCGAAGATGACGCCGACCGTCCAGCGCGCCGCCGCACTGGCGCGTAGAACAAACTGAGCCCTTTGGTGGTCTGCGCCAGCATCACCGTCATTTCCGAGTCGGTCGCACTGCTGAACCACTTGAATCCATCAATACGCCACGGACCAAGCGGCATGCCGTGCGCGTCGTGATGGGAGGCTTCCTGAAGCAGTTCTTCGCGAGTCAGCCGACGTGCGATCGTCTCAGTCCCGCGTACGTCGCTGCCACCCTTTCGCTCCGTCATCCATTGTCCACTTGTCCAGGCGACTTTAGGGTCCCGTGAAATGAGGCGCCGGTGTGCCTCGCGCAAGACTTCGCTACGACCGGGTTGGTCCCCGTCCGGTTCATTGAGATGAGCTGCCAGCAGTTTGGCTGCCCCATCCGTCATAGAGGCAGGACACCCCGTCATGGCAGCGCTACCGGACCAAACATGGTTGAGGGCAAATTGATGCACGCGGCGATTCCAGGTTGTGTTTTCCGTCTCATATGCGACACTCACGAGACCTTCTTCCTGGCCAATTGCCTTGAGCGCCTTCCAACCACTTGAAGTCCATAGGGGATTAACCCGGTTTTTCTCGCCGAAGGTGGTGAGTGGACGGAGAACAGGCGGGTTGGTCTCTGCGTCGACGCTGTGCTGAAGGATACTAGGCTCTAGGGCACGGCGAGAGAGATTGTGGATGGAGTGGCCCGCGTTGCCGCAGTTGTGGGGAAGATAAAGCTCCAGGATCCGGCCTAGAACTACATCGTCGGATGAAGAGTGGTTTCCGCGGGCGCTTGCGGTAGTGAAGCTATAGCACGGCGGGATAGTGGGAAGGGATTGAAAGAACCCTTCTGTGGATGATGAGGGCTTGATAGGTGTCCGTTCTGCCATGTCGTCTGTCTCGATAACTGGTCCTCTGGAAGGGGAAACAGCTTGACGGAAGACGAGAGCTGATATGTAATGTCTCCTCAGCATGCATGTCAGCAGCCCCCCACTTCACTCGGCTCCCGACCTGCAGAGACCGAGGTATCTACGGATACGCAGGTTGGTAGCAACCATTGGGCAAAAACCGGTTTGATTATATTATAGCTGAGTTTACCACAACCTGTAATGCAGCGAGAAACAAGTATTCACATTATAGTAAAAATAAAGATGGTCAAGTACCGAGGATATACGCAGAGCTGCATAGAGATGAAGGCAACAGGGGTTTGGACTGCAATGACGCTCTGTGCCACGGGAGAAGAATGAAAGGCCAAAGACGGACAACAATCGGTGGCACATGCATCACGTGGTACTTACCCCGCATATTTGTAGGGCACGTGATGCTGGACACAGCCTTAGGCAGTCAAACATATGTTGATACCTCAGGCAGAACTTTATACCTCAGGCTAGGAACGTAGGTTAGCGTTTCTTCCCTTTCGCAACCATTATACTTCAATAAGTACATCCCCGCCAATCTCTTGTGAAAGATTTGACTATATAGAGACACATTATCTGGCTATTTCTTTCCAATCCCATTTTCTTCGTCTCCCTGTCCTACATTCTAGAACCCATTATCCCGTTCAGCTTGGTCATTTCACAGATATATTAATGATCCCCTTAGGTTTCTCTGTTTTCTTGAAGATACTACATAATATGTTGCTACTACTATCACTGTGCTGAATGTGTCAGAGCGTCGGATCTAATACGTACTAATGATGCTTGTATTGTTGAGCCAGCCGTCATGAATAGAGTCACGGCATAATTGTAGCGTCACGGTAACTCTTAGGAACTACTCTATATACCTCCCTTCTTTCCGCTGCATATAACCAGTCACATTATTCTGCCAACAACCCTATCTCCGACAGAAACTATGTCCCCCACCCCCAGCATGAAAACCCGATTCCTCATCCTCTCCGACACCCATGGCGCAGAGCTACCCGAATCGTGCTTCCATCACTCCTCAGACATTGTAATCCACTGCGGTGATCTCACAACCTCATCCTACATAACCGAGTTCCAAACAACAATCAAGCAACTCCAGCGTCTCAAAGCCCCATTCAAGCTTGTCATCGCCGGAAACCACGACTTCACCTTAGACACACCAACCTTCCAACAGAAGATCCGCGAAGCGGGCCTCGAAAACGACCCCACCGTCAAGAATGTCTACGGCGACTACGAAGAAATCCGCACTCTCTTCAAACACCAACAAGAGAACGGAATCATCTTCCTAGACGAAGGCACACACTCATTAACCCTACCAAACGGTGCGAAACTCAACATCTATGCCAGTCCCTATACCCCCTCCCTCGGGGACTGGGGCTTCCAATACCATCCTGAAAAAGGGCATGGCTTTCAGATCGACAAAGATGTTGATGTCGTGATTACCCACGGCCCACCTAGAGGAATAATGGATTACACTGAAAATGGAAGAGCCGGGTGTCTGGATCTTTTCAAAGCCGTTGCGAGAGCTAGACCCCTCATGCATTGCTTTGGACATATTCATGAAGGGTGGGGTGCGATGATTGCACGTTGGAGGGATAGTACTGTTATTGGCAACGAACCTTCTCATTTCACGGCTATTGACTATGGACGGTCGACTGCTATCAACAAGCTATCGAAGCTTGATTCTATGACATCGCCGGCTGTTATTCGGACAAGTCACTGCACGGATGATGCGGTAGCGTTGCTACCGGGCGATCAGACATTGTTTGTAAATGCAGCGTTTGAGGGCAGCAATATATCAGATGGTGGCCTTTTAAGGCATCCGGTTTGGCAAGTTGATTTGGAGCTTCCGCCTGCTAGGTAGGCAAGTCAGCAGCACGTCGATTTTTGGGTATGATGCTTGATTTTTTCTTGATATTTACGTGAATGGATGTCCTATGCCCTCTTCCGGGGTGTATTTCTCCATACCTTTTTCTAAATAACCTCATATTTACAAAATCATCATTAGTTCTCCATAGCCATCATCATCCATCCCGTTCTTACAGTCATACTACATTTCTTATTCTAAGGATCTAATATTATCAGAAAGGAGATACCGCAACCAACTTTAAATTCTCTACCCACTCTCCTAAGATAGTCATGCAAATATACCAGTCATCTCTATGTCGCGACAATAGAGCAAATTTGCATTTACCAACAAATCCTAACAAGTGAGGGTCGTTGTAGAATCCAGCAGTATATCAGGTAGTCCACCACCACAATAGACTCACAAACAAACCCTACTACCTACCCACTAGTACACTCTTCAAAGATAAGTCAAAGTAAACTCATTCAACCGAATCCTGCCAAAATGTTCCGAATCAACACCAACTCGATCACCAAGACGTGGCTGACGAGTAGCCGTGCCGATCTCCGTGCCATTATGATCAAACATAACGATATGAACACGGGATCCACTCGTGATATACTCAGACGTCTCACCAATGGTAATGTTTTTGAATTGGAAGGAAGAGGCACGATGCTTTGTGCTGGCATAGATGAGCGACGTGGAGACGTATCCCTGAAGAGTAGGACTCGAGAAAAGCCAGGACTGGTCGCTGCTAGTACTGCTGGGCTTGTTGTAGATGCGGTATGGGTAGTTGTATTTAAGCTGGAATAGGATTAGTTGGTGCTTAATCCAAATTAGTATGGAAGGAGGGGATTGGGATCGACATACCTGCTTGACCTCTTTACCTTCGGTAGTTTCTACGTCAACGTAGAAGTTCTGGCTGTCAGAGCTGCTGCTTTTCGCTGACAGGCCCACCGCATCTGAGGATTGCTCGATTATACCGAGTTTGTGGAGGTAGTCGTAGCGTTCGGCGGTCATGGTTGTTGTCGTGGCCATGCTATAGACGTCATTTTCTGTGATGGAATTAGTTGGATCGATAGTGATGGAGGATAGTGAATCGGCAATGCTCACCGAAAGTATCGGTATCATCGTTATCGGTGAGAGTAGGGTTCACGGTAAGAAGCTTGTTGTCAGGTCCATGCGAAAGCTGGAACCCGACGGATACCGTGGTGAGGGTTGGCTGGTCGTTCTTCAGGATATCCGCGAACTTTTGCTTGATGTACTGGAATCCTGGGATAGTGGAGATCATGTCTTCCAGAGCGATGACCTTGGATTGCTATGGTGGTTGTCAAACTTGTTATCTAAAACGTCAGGGGAATAGGACTTACTTTAACGGCGCGCCAGGAGTAGAATGAGCCCACGGTGGCGGCCCATGCAGGCGGGCTAGATCAAGACAGATTAGATTGATTGAACACCAAAAAGGGGTAGAAGAGGTCGTACTCATTGCAGAGCAAGGTATCGCCGCCTTTGGCTTCCCAGCACATTGACTTGGTCGAAGCAGCGTTCGACGTGTCCGAGCTCGAAGTGGAGGACTTGTCGGAGCTCATCTTTGCGGAAGCCTGCACATATGGAGAGGAAAATGAAAGAGCTGCCGCCGCTTTCATGGCGTTGGCCTGTTCAGACTTGGCAGTGCTAGTGGTTGCTGTAATGTCTTCAGAAGACAAAAGCCTTCCACCGAGTTGAACTCGAGTAGCGAAGAAGCGACCTGCGTATCATGTTAGACGCCATTATATCCCATACAGTATCAAGTGGACTCATATCGCACCGTATTTATCTTTGAAGCTAGCAATGCTGGCAGCCGAATCCACAGAGAGCAAGTCAGCCTTGCATTCCTCCGTAAGATCCAGACTGTGGTGATCGAGGTCAATGACCACCCGTGGAAACTAATGCGATGGTCAATATTATTGATGATGAAGCTGTTGTGAAGATTCCATACGTTGTAGGTGATTGTCAAAACCTTGGTATCCTCGGTTGAGGTTGACGCCGATGAAGATGAGTTATTCTCACTGTAGCTGGCGGATGCACTAGCCTTGAAGCCAAACGCTCCCCCTGAACTATGGTCTTATCGTCAGCCAGAAGTCAATTCGTACATGGCTGGACTTACACGGCCATTTCAGCTGCAGTCTGCGACAAAGAGCTCTGTGCAATGGCACGCGAGACAGACTTTGTCTTCTCGAACTGCTCAACATACGAATCATCCTCGATGCGGAACCGGGGGATCCTCAGCATTTGCTAGGAGTGAAGCAGTCAGTCGGAATTGTGGCTGTGTGAAACGAAATGCTGGCTTACCTTCTGCTTAGCAATAGAGTCCGACGCAGCACTGTCAGAGATCTGGTAGTTCAGAAAAGGCCGCGGCCTAAGAATAAAGGCTATACAGAGACACGAGCTAAGGGGCACATATGGACTTGTACTATGATTACTCACCGGTATGCATTGAGCGCTCAACAACTTTTCCCACCTTGTCATCAACCTCAACTACCTGGTGAGCGTTGAGAAGACTGTTATTACGGATGACAACACTCCAGTGCTTCTCCGACATGTCTGCTGGGTGGCTATATGGTAGCAAGATCAGTATATCGTCCCGTTCTCCTATGAGGTGTGGCTTACACAACGGCGAAGGTGGTGTTTGGATTGGTGAAGATGTTGTGACTGAAAGTAGTAGGCACTGCAGGAGCTTTAGGCTGTTCTGCAGCAGACACGCCTGCGATCTTGTTCTGCATAGGGTGTGAGAAATACAGGCAGCTGATGGCATGATTCCATCACTTACGTCCACGATGACTTTGCCGCCCAATGGGAAGAAAACCTCATCACCTTCGTGTTTCAGGTATACTCGGTAAGTGTCGGCATTATCAGCATCGATTTCCTATAATATATGAGTACAATGGCTGGCGGATAGATTCAGCGAACTCACGCCAACTTCACTTGACTGCAGAAATGTTAGCAACCAGTCTATTTAGGCTAGATGGCACTCACCTTCTCATTCAAGATATCAAGATACGCCTGGAAACTATGACTGTCCAGGACCTTCGCGCCACGTTGGTTGCAAAAGGTACTCCACAGCCTGTGGTACTACTTAGTATGTGTGGTGATTTCCCTCCAGTCGTACATACAGTTTGGGTTCCAAGACCTTCTCACTGACTAGCAGCTCACGGACATTGGAAAGCTTCATCTTGCTTGGATCCGCATTTTTCATGGCAATGCAAGCCTTTTCCTTGATCACCCTGGTATGGGTGTCGTAGGAGTAGACGTGAAGTACTTGCTGCGTCTCGCCAGTCAAGTCTGTGACGGTCAGCTATAATTATCCAAGTAAGTCTCCCGAGACACCAACTAGACAGGAGAGTCTCAAGCTCCTTGCTGATGTTCTGAGCCATGCTCGTAGTGTCTTTGGCAGCCGTGGTAGCAGCCGACGTAGTAGCGTCAGTAGCAGCTGTGGCAGCCGTGGTTGCTGCCTTAGTGACGTCTGAGACGAGAGAGCTCATTGTTCAAGGAACTTGGAATATGGTTTGCAAGAGATAATAGTAAATGAGAATATTGAGTGTAGTATTTGGGCTTTCTCTGGATGGAAGAGTCTGAGCATGCTGGGGCAGAGGAGAGACTTTATAGCACGCACACGACACTATTGTAGCAGTCGATCTTATCGACTTCGTGATACTTGGCTTGACTTCGGATGATGGGTGGCTGTACAATTGAATGCATTGATTCTGGTAAATGCTCCATTTACATCAAATGAGGGGTATTGAGGGTCATGTTTACCCTATCATTGGCAATATGAGGTCGTATCAATCAGGTTTTGTGTGCATGTTCTCCAACTCTAGTTACACCATCCACAATAGTGTACAGTGGCAAATAGCAGTACATGACCATTATTGACAAGATGGCAGGGATGTGGCATGCTATACTCCTACCAAACCCCGATGGCTGTTTTAGTGGCACGTTTAGGGCCATTTTCATATCCCGAGGGGATTTGTTTTTGCTTTTCCGATCGTGTTTGAGTACGACATCGGTCGTGCTTCCCTGCTCACGGGGCCGAGTATGCTATACCGAAATGAACGGTACCGCACAAGGTCATTTATCATCTTTAAAATTGTGATAGAGACCGTAAAGAAGATGTCCCTAGGGACTTGCTCTCCTGAAGTTCTACGATTGTATTATCCGACTGGTCATTTTGGACGGCAGATCCGAGACCCACCGTAATGGGGGCGAACGGGCCGCTCCGCTTGCAACAACAACAAAGCGTATCTACTTTGCAGTGCATGCAATGGGCAAGACCATCCCGGAGAGGTATGAGCTCCGTGAAAATCTGCAGGAATCTCGAGATCGAGACTCTCGGCTCCTCTTTCCGTGTTCAGCATCCCATCTAAAGGCTCCAGCAGGGCTTGAATGGTGTGATTTTAGGATCGTCACGAGGGTACGAAGCGGGGATACCACCCTCCATCACATCTAGTGGATTTCAGGGTTCGCAAATTGTATTGTCTAGATCATGTCAGTGTCAGAAACATGACTCGGGATGAGACTAGGGAACCATCTGTGCCCCCACAGCTAGGGCCGGGAGCGCCGTGCTAGTTTATCTTGACTGCAAGTTCAAATCCCGAACCAGACTATCTGTCTCCGCACGTTCTCTGCTACGATTTTTCGCTGTCTGACTGACCCGGGAAGGCGTCAAGGAGGATCTTGCAGGCAGGGAGCTTGCATTATACATCTATCCAATCGGCTACCAATCTTCACTTATCTAGTCTATTGTCGGCCATGATCATGCGTAACGGAGTTGAAAGCCATACAGCATGGCCTCACCCAGTTCTAGATCGTCGGGGTAAGTTCTCTATTCATATTAGGCTTCCTGCCATGTACCAACCAATAAGGCTATTTTCGGGCTTGCTCCGTCATCCAATCAATGTTACCTTAAACCTTCTATTTGGTGTACTGCCAGCTGAATACGTGATTTGCTAGGTACGTGACACTAGTATCTCATTCACACAAATGAATATGCGACCAGGCGGTGGTTATTTCTGTTTTCGAGGATGGCACCACTCAATCTCCACCTCAGCTCTTTCGACTGAACCAAAATCAGGATCCCATCAAACGACCCAGCCTGCACTATCTCGCTCATTTGTCACATTCCGGGGTTTGCTTTCCAATTGAAAGGCATCTAACAACGTATCTGGGGCGATAATCGGCCCTGTATGCTTTGTGATATCCAAGAAGAAGGTTATACGGTAATCCCAGATACTCACTCTCATCATGAGCTTGTACCTTCTTGACATGCGGCAGCAGCACGCTATAGTTTCTCGTGAGACTGGAGTCGGGACTAAGAACCGATGAAACCACCTTACTCCGCAATTAGATATTATTATCGGTGTTATCTTCTAACCGACCAACCCATTAAATATACCCCTTATTCCTTATAACAGGCCTAGTATAGCGTCACCATCCTATAGGTAAGACTATACTCCGGCCTCTGCTCGCATCTGCGCACTGTTGATGAATTCGCACCGGTCAAATAGCCTCTCCCATAACAGTGCCTTTTCTGCTTCCGTGGAACCACTCGTATCCGCACCTTTGCGGACTGTGACGGCTCGCGATCCCATAGGGCCCCCGAAAGTCTGGATCGACAGCTGATCAGGTGAATCTTTCGAAAGGCCCTGCTCACTGATCCCAAAGAATGCCACAGGCCACGCCTCACTAGGACTCGCATCATGCACAAACCCAATTACCTGTCTGCTCACTTCCCGTGCCAACTTCATTTGTTCCGGGGAGTTATCAGCCCCACCCTCCAGATTAGCAGTATTCATGACATAAGGAATATCACTAAGATGGGCAACGCGCCACATCGGTACGCCCATCATTTCAAATACTGGTGCGTATCTAGTCGCATTATGCTCATAGAGCCAGACTTTTGACGGGACCAACCCCCCATTCTGAGCATATTGCCATGCAAAATCAAGCACTGGACAGGTAAACCAGATATCACGATTCATTTGCGCAGCGCGGTAGTACTGCGGTGAGATAGGGCCGTCGTAGCTCTCGCGGATCATATGCGCGAAGTCTGTGATGGGATACAAATCCAGCAGTCTTGCTTTTGTGGAAGTGGAGAGCTTCGACAGCCACAGTCCGAAGCTAGCAAGCACTTCTTCGTCGGTGGAGGTGGGGGGCGGGGCATACCAGGCTCCATCGTTGGCCACCCACGAAGCAATAATAGGGATATCTTTGACGAAGTTGCCGGCACGCAGGAGCTCGGAGGGTCGAGCGGGGAGAAAGTCGCCGTCAATGGTCGGGTAGAAAAATCCTTCTCCAAACGGGGGGCGAGCTGCACGTGATGCCGTGACGGAGAGGTTGGTGAGGGTGTCAAAGGGGATGCTTTGAAGACATTCGAGGGTCTCGAGGGATTCGGCGTCATTGGTGTTGATGCAACCAACCTCTCGCGCTATGTTTGCGGTGTTCTCGGATACCAGACTTGCGTCACTGTTGAAGTTGACACCTGGGGCGCCAGACATCATGCTGATACAGGTTAAGTGAGTGGAAAGAGCGAGAGGAATCAGATCAACTCACATTGCGCGTCGGAAAGGGACACCTTTGGTGCCGTTGAATGATGTCAAATGCAGGCCGATGTCGCTGGCCCCGACGCTCTGTCCGATAGCAGTTACTATGGCTACATTAGCTGTAGGCGCCTGTTGAAGATATCATTTGGTTGCTGCACCTCTGCTGGGGTCACCCCCAAAGGCTTCGATGTTGTCCCGGACCCCTGGCCAATAAGTTATCAAGGGTTCAGTAATGCATGATTGGTCTACACACATTCCAAGGCAGCGCGCTGGTCACGCAGTCCGGCATTTGTTTGCTTCTTTGCAATCATAGCCTTGCTGGTCGCGAATCCAAAGACTTTAAACTGTCAGCAACAACCAAATGGGCGCACGAAGTATATCCCTTACATCCTAGTCGGTAGTTTATCCCGACGTATATCAGCGGCTTCCCCGCTGCCACTGCCTCTTGAAGCAGTCCTTCTGGATTGTAAAGCTTGTCAGAAGCAGAGCCCAGGCATGACCGCCTAAACATAATCATCATCAGTGCTGGCTTTAGAAGCAAGTACAGCAGGAATACACCTACCTCCATGTAACCACACCATAACAGGAAGCTTATCCTGGTTTTTCACACCGGTCGCGCGAGCAACCCTCAAGCTAAGGCAATTCTCACTGATATTCGACACTCTACTCGTGAAAGGCAGGATATCTCCTGTTCCCTGTGGACACCATGCTCCAGACTGAGTGGCATTGATCACAGAACCTTTCGGTGGGCGGACGGGGACTGGGGGAGCGAAGCGACGGGGGCCAGTCGGCTCCTCTGCGTAGAAGATGTTTTGAAAGTGTTCTACCCCATTTGACAAAGTGCCAATATAGTTGATGCCACGATGAGGATCATAAACTGTAGGGGAAGGAGATACGGGTGCTTTTGGGAAACCGACATTGTAGTAACCATTGATATGTTCAACTATGACATCAGTGGATGGTGAGAGGTATATGGCGAAGAGTGCTATGGCCACTGTGACTGCGGCGACAACGCCACCCATTCTAGGAGTGGCCATGACTAGCTCAAGGGGAGATGTATACTGCGTCACCTGGATGATAAATTGGATATGAGGTGGTTGGTTAAGGTGTGCTGCGTGTTCGTGGAAGTGGTGCATAAGCGGGAGATGAGGCGGGTACTGGCGGAAGTGCCTTAAAGTCTGGGCAGTCAGTAACTTTGTGGCTGCGCCCGGCCTGACAGGGATGTTACATCTACAATGCAGGAGACTCGGGGGACCTCAGGTCAATCTCCTGATACAACCAATGCTGGAGATACCGCTCCTATGATTGACCCTCTCTCATTTCACATACAAAATAAAATAAATTTTTTTACAT